GATCTAGATCATTGTAAACAACTCCTGTTGCAGTATATTCTGTGTTGTTCTCTGGGTTAATGTTCGTCATTTATATGAGAATAAAACAATTTTTACTCATAACAAATGAGATCGAAGTCAATTCTTTATGGTGCAGCTAATCTTCCAATTGAACCAACAAGCAATGTTGATTCAAGAACAACTAATAACATTGTGATAAAGAACTATCCATCTGGTACAGTAAGTGATGCTCCAACAGAGATAAAAAAAGAGGAAACAACTACGAACTCAGAAGCACCAATGTATCCTCCTCCTTTAAGTCCATTAACTTCCAACCTGACCTCATCGAGATCTGTGGAGACTTCATCGAGGATTGGTGTAGAAGAGTATTTACTTAGTATATACCAGAAGATACTTCTAGACCAAGACAAAGAGCTCTTTTCTAACTTAGTGAGCAAAGATCAGATCTTACTACCTAAGCCAGACTTGGAAGAAGTTGTTCACAGAATGACTGGGTTCAAGTGTGAAATAGACCTACTGGACCCAGACATCACATGTTGTGGTATTCCACCACCTTTCTCAAAAATAGCTCAGATCAGAATCATTGATGAGAACAATATTGCTCAAGAGTTTAAGTATGCATATAATGCACAATATACTGAGTTAATAAGTAGGTATAATTTATGTCTTAAGTATGTTATTGTTTAACCAAAAAATTTTTTATCTAATGTTAAATATGGTTGTTCAAACAAGAACAAAAGCACAAATGTTTCAAGACTTACTCAATAAAACTTATTGTTTACTCAAGTAATTATTTTAGAACGTTTCGACGTACTCCTTGATCTTATCAAGAGCTTCGAGCATCCGCTTCTTTGCATTGTACTTGGCGAGGATGGCTTGCTCAATGGTGAGCTCGAAGGCTTCTTTACCGATCGGACGGTGATCGCGAAGATCTTTGAGTGCATCAAGAGCTGCAGTGTACTCTGATGGTAAATGGGAGCCATCTAGTAATGGGTACAAAATGAGCATGTATTCCTGCAGTAAGTTCTCCTGTTTCAAGCGGGACTTGAACTCTTCGCGGAGATCTTGAAGCTTTTGGAGCTTCTCAGTGGCTTGAAGGTATTCAATGATGACCTTCTCTTGTTCCTCAAGTGCTTGTGGGAGGAAGTGGACATAAGCTGTTGACTTCATCAAAAATGAAGTGGTCATGACACTTTTTAAGTTAATGTCCGAGCCATACAGTGATGTCGAAGCAGCACATGAACCAAAGAAGAAGTCTTGCTGGGAAAAGACAAAGATTGTTGGTAACGCAATCCTAGCCATTTGTGTTGTTTTGAACTTGATCGTACTTCTGATCTTGTTCTACAAACTCAACAGAGGTTATTGTCTCAAGTAAACACTTATTTATTACCATATAAATGATTTTTACCAAACCTCCTTTACCTTTCATAGGTAATAAGTCGAAGATCAGGAAAGATCTTATCGACATACTCAAAGACATCAAAGGGGATTATGTCTTCGTTGACCTCTTTGGTGGTTCTCTCTATATCTCTCATCTGTTGCATATTATGTTCCCAAAAGCAACGATCATAGCTAACGACTATGATAACTACGTTGATAGACTGAAACACATTCATGACACGAATGAAATACTTAAGGAACTTAAGGAGAGAATAAATGTTAAGCCAGATGAGAAAATTCCTACTGATCAGAAAGAGATCGTCAGAGAAGTTATAAGTAAAGCTCCATACATAGACTGGGATACATTATGTTCACGTCTTCTCTATTCTGGAGCATACAAATACTATGATCTTGACACATTAATGAAGAAAGTGTTATACCTCAGATATACTAACTTATTTGGTGAAAACATAGATGACTATCTTGAAGGTTTAACTATTGTTCATAAAGATTGGAGAATACTCTTCAATGAGTATAAAGATCTTCCCAATGTTTTCTTTATATGTGATCCTCCATACTTCCATACTTATTCTATACAGTATGGAGATGAATGGACTCTTAAAGATACTGTAGAAACCTTTGATGTCCTTAATTATCCATCTATTTACTTCAGTAGTGATAAATCTTATACAGAAGAACTTATAGAGATATTGACAAAAAGATATGGAGAGAAATTTCTATGAGAAAGCATGTTATAGATAGAGGTTTAATTAATCCTAACACTCAGAAAAATAATGAAGTAATATATGTCACTTTTTCTGTTAATGGAGAAGAGAAAGATCAAGAAGATAATAGTTGATGAGGGAACTGAAGAAGCGACGACATTCATCTTTGACGACGGAAAGCTCACATTCGTTGTCGATAAAAATGGACAACACTTACACAAAAGAAAGAGACCAAGAAAATTTTTAGATCTCCCAAAAGCTAGGAAACCAAAGGAACCATTTCCAGTACCAGCCGTCCAAGAACCAGAGAGACTTTTGATACCAAAACCTGTGGTTGACAAATATGATCCAGATCAGTTCTTCCCAAAAATACCAAAGTTAGAATAAAAACTCCTTTATTTCTTTAGTATTATATAATAAGTCTATTAGTAAGCTCTGTTCTCGTTCTGTTCTGGTATTTTGACGTCTTTTCATGGTCTCGCATAATAAGATCATGAACTTTTTCTTGAGATACTCGAAGAGCTGAGGTAAGTTATCATATTCTGGATATGTAGGAAGCATCCCTGCTATCGTAAGTGTTGTATCAATAAGGATTGGACTTATATCGGAAAAGTCGAGATCTGGAGTAGAATAAGAAGGTAAGTCTCTTACATGTAGGTAGTCATTATATGCTTTACGCATGAGACTGAGTTTCTGGAGCACAACTATGAGACTTTGGTTCTGACGTTCAAGTTTGCTTAAAGTTCTCTCCAAGCTTCTGTAATAAACGTCAACCTCTGTAAGAGCAGATATTTTTGCATTGATCTCGGAGATCTTTTCTTGAACTTCACCAAGTTTGACCTTAACTGACGTTTGAGCTCCCATCATGTTTTCATCAAGGTCATTCTCTATGTCATCAATGATATCTTCCCATGAAGTCATGTTTTCATCATTGATCTTAACGTGAACACTCATGAAAAAAATGTCATGTAAAGTATAAATGTCAGATTTTTACTCTTGAGCTTCTTCTCTCTGGATTGACTCGTCTGTAGGGCTTAATGTGCCATCACGTTCGACCAGAAGGTTCTGCTCAGGTCTGTCAAGGAGCTGTCTGTAGGTCGTGAAGGTTTCAACGAGTCCTTGGTAAGGAGTTTGGAGATCAACATCGACCCATGGGTGTTTGCGTAAGAAAGCAGCAAGGCTTTCACGCTTGGAGTCAATGACATCTTTCTTATTGGTTAATCCTTCTTCAAAGCTTAGGATTACTCCTGCAGTTGATTCAAGTCTTTGGATCTGGCGTCTGGAAACCTTGGTGAGTTGTCTTATCCTCTCGTTTCCAAATACATGCAGGAGATATGCAGAAATTACTTCATTAAGTTCGATTAAACAAATTGGATGAAGATCAGTCATGGCTTTTGTAAAGCAATCTTTTGTAAAGCTCTTTTGTAAAGCAGACTTTTGTAAAGCAATCTTTTGTAAAGCAATCTTTTGTAAAGCAGACTTTTGTAAAGCAATCTTTTGTCAAGACGTCTTTTGTAAAGCAGACTTTTGTAAAGCAATCTTTTGTCAAGACGTCTTTTGTAAAGCAAAAGTATTCAATTTTGTGAGAAAATGCTTTTGTAAAGCAGTCTTTTGTAAAGCTGTCTGTCTTTGTAAAGCTGTCTTTTGTAAAGCTGTCTTTTGTAAAGCTGTCTTTTGTAAAGCAGTCTTTTGTAAAGCTGTCTTTTGTAAAGCTGTCTTTTGTAAAGCTGTCTTTTGTAAAGCTGTCTTTTGTAAAGCAGTCTTTTGTAAAGACATAACCGACGACCGAATGTCCCAAGATGGTACAACACCAGCTCCAGCATCACCAACACTAGATATGATGGCAATGATGATGCAGATGATGCAACAGCAAACCCAGCTTATACAGCAAATGCAGGAAAAGAAAACTTTCAATAAACCTGCAAAGAACTCACAAGATCTTGAAGCTGGACTCAATGCTCTCAGGAACGACTACAAGAGAGAGCAGATGACGTTTAGGAAGAAGGGTGATGAAGATTATGAGAATGATCCGATCGAGAGAAGACGAGATCAAGTCCACTGCATCCACAAAGACCCTCCAGGATGAAAGAGATGATGAGGGATTCCTTACCAAGTCTCAAAGACTCTTTGTCCTTGAGTTCTTCACGATCTCTGCCTTGAGATCTATGAGGAATTGGAAGGGTCGCGTTCCAAGTGGCTCAAACAAGCGCGAACTACTCATGACCGCAGTACCGCTCACTAAGACAAAAGTCCAGCTCATGGACTTTATCCTTTCCGCTTGTCCCGACGAGATCTAAGATCTGATCAGAGTAAAAACTTACATTTATGAGCTAAGCTCAGTAATAATTAGTTGTTTATTCTTTCTTCTCATACTTCTGTGCAAGGTTTCCACGGAAGAACTCAAGCAACATTTGGATCTTTCCAAGCTTTCGACCTTCTTTTTCGAGGTCATCCTGGTAAGTTCGGAATGCGTCAACGTGTGAGCTCGCATAGAATGCAGCAACAACAACCTCTTCTGCACCTTCTTTGCTGTCAAGTGGCATGAACTCGAATCCTTCCATTCGACCAAATAAAAGTGACAAAAATGTCAATGAGACCCACTCGTTGCATAGATGCTAAACCTGGTCCGAAGATGCAAAAGTTCTTCTTAACACTCATGTCTGACCATAGGGTACGGTCATGAAGAGGTCATACAGATCTTCGATCAGTGTGTACCAAAACCTGAGAATCCAGACGAACTCTTCATGAAAATTTACTTGCTTCAATGGAGAGATGAGAGAACAGATATGAAACTCAGACCAATACCAATCTTTCTAGGTTTCTGCAATTACCTAGAACAAGCATACCAGATTAAAGGGTCTGACACCATCTTCCTCCAAAAATAAACTTTATCGTTTATAATGCATCAGGATCTACATCTATTTCTTCTGCTTCATCCTCAATGTCGATCTCTTCGACAGGTTTGATAGCAGCTTTGAGTAAGTTCTTACCCATTGTCTTAAGTTCAACTGGGTTATATTCTTTGTCTTTACTCTTTGTTGATTTCGTGAGATCTACATATAAACAATAACTTTTAGTCTTGTCAAGGTTTATTCTCGCTGAGAAATGGTCAGGAATGTTTATAGCTATCTTTTCAAACTTGAGTAAATTAGCTAAACCTTCATTTGTGTATTTCTGCTTATCGACAAAGATCATGATCGGACTTGCACTATAACCATACTTTCCTTGACATAATGTTTGTGGTAAGCATATAAGTAGTCTCTTTGCTGTTTTATTTTGCTTCTTCACTTCATCTACAAACTGTTGGATCTTAAAGAACTTTATATGATGTTCAGACATCTTTATATACCCGATAAAAAGTTCAGATAAAAAAATAATTAGCTATATTTTTATTAGTGCATAAATGAGTCTTTCTTTGAGATTTTCTGATGAAGATCTAACTTTGGTAAGATCTTTAAAAGATGATGAAAACATTCTTTCTGTCATTGATGAAGAAAAGAAATACTTCAGTAATGATGTAAAAATAGAGCTACTCATTCATACTGAGAAACAGTTTGTGATCGTGATCTTGAGTTAACCAACTCGTATCCAAGCGTGCATTGTTATATAAGGAGGCATATAATCTTTTCCATTACCTGCTGGGTCTGTAATGCCAGCTACAACATGTGTATGATTTCCTGCAGTTCCACAGAAAATACCTGTGCTTGAATCTACTGGGTCACTTGAAATATCATATCTATGCATTCCCTGTCTATCCGAACCTGCTGCAAGATTTGTATAACCTCTTTTTGTCATTGAATGTGAATGGTTTCCTTCCACAGATGTTCTTCCACTGAACCTATGCATATGTGAAGGAAGGTTTTCAATACCTATTTTCTTTGAACCTCCCATCTTCATTGACTGCGTATTAGTGTAGAATGGAAAACTGTCAACTATTTCATACCATCTACCACCAAATAAAGTGTTTGGATTTATTGGATTCATAGACGTATAAACAGCTCCTATAGGATATATTAAATCATATATGCTCATAGCTCTATAAACATATTCTAAAGAACTTATGTCATTAAATACCATTTGGAATGTATCTCCCGGATGAAATGTTGCATTTGTTCCACTTTTATAATGTAATGTTAGTTCAATAGAATTATCCAAGAAAAATTCAAAAGTATCTGGTTGAAGACCTCTAACAAATTCAAATGGAGTTGCTGGTTCACCATTTATAATTTCTGTTGTAAATGTCATTTTATCTGGTTTCCAAAATTTCTTTGTTAGTTCTGCATCCACATAAGTTTTGTCAGCTTTCTTATCTAACATTGTTGGTAGCTCATGTGTTTCAAAGTTTCTGACATGACCTTCAATGTTCGTACATTTACTATCTAAACTATTAAGTGTATCTCTTACACTAGTGCTTGGATTCTCTAAAGGTGCACTTGAGCCTAAAGTATAGTTCAAGATAATGTCATCAGCTCTTATTTTCTTGATTTGAACTGGTTGGTCATTATCAGCTCCTATTTTATTGATTATAACAGGTTTGTCTTCTCTTGAACGAATTGATTTAACTGTCAAAGGTTCAGTGAACTCATTATTTTTCAAAGGAATCAATGTTGTATTGATGTTTTCACCATTAATATATACTTCTTTTGCATCAATACCAGATGGGAATGAAACTCTTTCATTAACTTTAACTGTTGTACCATCACCTGGGTACATATCTTTCTCTGGACCTTTGATTGTCTTAAGTATGACAGACTGTGATAAAGTATATTCTTTAGATGCAACTTTACGTATCTCTTCGTCAACATAACTTTTGTCAGCTTTGTCTGCAATCTTAAGTGCAGTTCTTCCTCCATTATTTTTGTTCTCCTCAACTTTCTTCGCTAATTCAGCAAGAATGAGATAAAGATAATCAGTAAGGTCATCAGTACCAGACATATTAATATTATTGTTCTTTCTTGATGTATTAGCAACTTTCACTAAGGTCACAAAATCAGGGTACAAAGTACTTAACGTAGAAATGATTGTTTTTGGTCCAGGATCTTTCTCTTCTTCATCATTAGCATCACGTGGCATTGGAATTGGTTCCAAAGGTCCAGTCACATCAAAACTCTCAAGTTCCATATAACCTTCATTTCTGAATCTTTCTATATGAGTTATCTTCTGGAAACTTGTTTTAGTCTTTTCAACTAAATTTTTTATTCCATCCACAAAACCTCCTTTATGATTTGGACCAAGATTACCCAGAGTGTCAAGAACAGTATCTATACCTTCTTGACTTTCAACAAAAGCCCAAAGAGCATTTATTTGACTCTGGAGTGATATCCATGAGGCTGCAGTAGCACCGGCGTTTGCTATGGCAAAGATGAATGATAAAGGGTTGAACTTAAGACCAGATTCTTTATCTTTGACAATTTCAACGAAGTCATTGATATTTTTCTTCAAGTATTCCTTAGTCAGAAGAACTCCATCGCCAGCTATACCAGTTGCTTTTGTCTTTCCTTTAACATCAAATGTGATTGGTTTCTTCAATAAAATAACTTCTGGTGTTGTACTGATGCTATCATTAGTGGAGAAAAATTCTCCGACATGACTTGCTAAGTATTCTTTCGTCAATAATGTTCCATCACCAACAATACCAGTTGCTTTTGGACCATCTTCTGTGAATGTCAATGGTTTCTTTAACATAACTTTATCTAAGTATATTGCAATACCACTATTTTGTACTTGTTCATGACCTAATATATAAGCAAATGCTGCGTTTAAAGCATTATACAATGTATCTTCTTTAAATGTTAATTGACTGTTTTCAATCATTGGTATATTGAACAGTGTAGACCTTGGGTCAAAATGAACTCCATGGTCAATCGATAATAACCGTTTAACATGATATATTATAGTCTCTAATGCTTCATTAATATTTACCTCACGAGTTTCTTGCAAACCATTACTCGCCATACATGAAAACATATAATCTCTATCAGTTGTGAAGAATGGAGCATCTAAGTAATTATTCTCTACTTTTGTCACACGATTCTGTAACGCTTGAAGGTATTGATTTAAGTCTGTTTCAACAATTGTACCATCTGGTTGCTCGATAGGTAATATACCAGGACCGATGGTAATGTCTTCATCAGCACCTTCTTTATGTATGACTAAAGCATTATCAGTAATTCTGAGAGTATATTCTTTATATTGAAGTACGCTAGACTTATAACATTCATATGCATATGGAACAACACTCATTCTTTTACTACATATAAAAATGATGTATTATCTACAATCGACTGATCCTAATAACTACGGGACAATACAGTTTCAAGCAGATCCTAACATGGGGCATCCAAGTAAGATAAAGATGAGAGTAAAAAGTGTCAGTACTATGGCGAACTTTATTGTTTGTGACGAAACAGATTATTTTGTCTTACAGTTAGACGAAGATGGAGAAGAAAAGGTGTGTACATTTAAGTCAGCTCTTTCATTTGATATGGATACTATTGTATCAAAACTACAAGAGATTGTAACAAAACAGTTTGATTATTATAACAAGAAAAAAGGTCAACATAATGTAACAGTTTCACTGAGTGCTACGAATCAACTTATATTTACGTCACAGGACAAAGGACATAAAGTCTATTTAAAAGATGCTTCACATAGAGCAAATCTTATTTTAGGTGCATATGGAATAGAACTACCTATTGTACATAATTATTATCTACAAATGCCAAAACCACCTATGCTCAACTTCGGGTATCAGTTATACCTTCGTTCATCAATGTCTGTCATCTCTGGGTTCAATAATATTGACCAAGTTGATGATCGAAGAAAGATCATGTACAGATCTACATGTTATAACATCAATGAGTTCTGGATATCTGGTAAACCACTTATATGTAAGGAATCCTCACCATGGATAGATGCATTTCCATGGGAACTAACTAATGTTACGTTTACCTTAGTTGACTTCCAAGATCAGCCTGTTCGATTATTGTCACCAATGTTTATGGTGATAGAGATTAAACCAGATAAGCCAGAAGTTAGAGAAACCAATGATGTCAGTGATGATGATACAGAATCTTCGTACGATTATGATTACGATGACGATTAAAAAAAAATAACGTATATTTTTTTATCGGTTATAAAAGACCAACATGCTCAATGCTATAAAAGGATTAGTTAATAACCTTTCACCAGAAGATAAGAAAGGTATGCTTGATATGTTTGGGATCAAAATGCCTAAGAAAGCTAAAGACATTACCAATAAATTAGCTCTGGCAATTAAGAATCAAGGAGGTACAGGAAGTGTAGCAGATATTTTCAAGAATGCTAAGAGCTTCTATGATGACTACAATGGTATCATGAATGTTCCAGCTTCAAATTCCCCAGTTGCTTTAGATCACGATCAGAGATCTCATAATAGAGCGTTAATGGAGATGCAACCAATATACTCAGACCCTCCACCAAAGATTGATGAGAGCGAATTAGCATACAAAGAAATACAGAATGCCTTTTACGTTGTTAAGAACATTAATGGTCAAAAACTTCCTGATGAGAAATGGTTAGACCCAATAACTAAAGCAGGAGAAAGATTCATTATGTTTAACATTGACCAATACAGTCCAAGAGGAAAAGATTACTTCAACAAGATGTTTCCAAGAGTTATGGCAAAGTTCATTGGACAGATAGACCTTTTCAAACAGAAGTGGACATTCTATTACGACTTTGATGAGAAGAGAAACATTTTGCGTCATTTGAACATCAATACAATGGGATCATTAGTTCATCAGTTACTTAATGAAGCTCCAATAGCAGAAGTACAAGAATTAGCATCTAAAGTCCTTGAATCAAACTATGACTTCTTCCTTTGTAGTATTCCTTCGTTAAGGAAGATCGAGATCTTTGACTATACAGCTTATTCAGATGTTGATGCTTCTGCTTTGAGAAAAGGAACGTACACACCATATAAACTCACAGCTGAAGAACAAGTTATGTTAGATACGATGAGAGCAGCAGGTCAAGAAAAGATCGCACTCAAGATCATCAAACAAAACCATTCAAAGAAGAGAAACAGGTCACGTAATGGTCAGCTTTGGACATGGACATGCAAATTACCTATTAACTTAGAGAGGTATCAGATCTTCAACGAACTTAATGCAGAGACAGCAAAGAAGATGATGAAAGATTCATGTTTCATCTACGCTTGTATTCAAGCTGGTGTTGACGAAGCAACAATTAATCATATGAGGGAAATCATTCGTGTCAAAGATTTTCCAATGTCAAAGATTAAGGTTATTGCCAAAGAAACAGGAATAAGGTTCCATGTCATCAAATACAACGAGAAGTATTCAAATCATTCATATACTTATGAACCAGATGAAGAACCAAAGATGACAGTAGAACTTTTATTAATGTATGACCACTACATGTTGAACGAAAAGCTTCCAATAAGTTCAATGTTCATCAAGAACTATGAAGATGTTTGTAAGTTGTGCAAGGATTGGACTTTAGAGAAGAAGATGTTAGTTAACAGAAGATATGAAACAAGGTATGCAATTAACTCAAAGTTAGTTACACCACTTGCAAAAGTCATTGAACTCTTGTTTGCTAACAATTATTTCGAACCAATTAGAACAGGAGAACTTTGCACATACTTCACAACGATGTATAATGAGAACCTTGAAGAAATGATTGACCTCACATACAATGAGCGTTATTGCGCAAGGATGAAGAAAGATTGGAGTTCAGAGACGAAGAAAGACATGAAGTTCCCAAGAGAACATGTTTTCTTTGCTGACTTCGAAGCATCAACTGATGGAAACATTCACAAAGCATACAACATTTGTTTCATGGAAGATGACGATGATGGTTATACATCAATTTGGGGAAGTGACTGTGCGTCAAAATTCCTCGAAGCTTTACCAGATAAGAGTTTAGTTTATTTCCACAACTTATCGTACGATGTCACTTTTCTCATGTCTCAGTTAGAAGAGATTACAGGAACTCCAATCATCAAAGGTTCACAAACGATGCAGATACAAGGAAAGTACAAAGGAAAACTTCTCTGCTTCAAAGACTCTTATGCAATCATCTCAACTAAGTTGGAAAGATTCCCTGAAATGTTTCACCTCACTAGTGGTGAAAAAGAAGTTTTCCCATATAATTACTACACGGAAGAGTTAGTTAATACAACTAAAGTTGGTAACATCGATGATGCCATGAATCATGTCAAAGATATTGAAGCTTTTAATGAGAACATTGAGAAGATTGAAGATTGCAAGATTGATGATGAACACTTTGACATGGAAGTTTATTCGTCATTCTATTGCGGTCAAGATGTACGCATTTTACGAGATGGCTTTCTTAAGTTCCGCAATGACCTCATGACTGAGTTTGAAATAGATGCTTATGATTATGTTTCAATAAGTTCTATCTCAAACAAACTCTTTGAGAAGAGAGTATATTGGAAGAACGGTAATCTCTTTGATCTTGCAGGAAAACCTCGTGAATATATTTCCAAGTGTATTCAAGGAGGAAGATGCATGCTAGCTGAGAACAAGAAGCAATACAATGAAGGAGAACTCATCACTGACTTCGATGCTGTATCATTGTATCCATCAGCAATTGCTAGACTTTACTGTTTAGAAGGAATTCCAAAAGTTATGACAGAAGAGATGAAGAGCAGTGAATACTTGTTGGAGCATCTCTTTGATGATGACCAAGCTGAACCAACAAAGGAAAAGTTCATCTCAGGATTTTACTGTCAGATCGAGATCTTGTCGATCGGTAAGAACTCAGCATTCCCATTGATTGTCGTCAATCCTGACATCAACCCTGACTTACATGTTGCCAGAAGTTCCAATACATGCTGCAAGATGTTCGTAGACCACATTACGCTTCAAGATCTGATCAAGTTCCAAGAGATCTCATGCAAAGTCATTGATGGATACTATTATGATGGAAAAAGGGACATGACAATAAGGAATGAAGTTAAGAAGCTCTTCGAATTACGTGCTAAGTATAAGAAGGAAGGTAATCCGATACAAGAGATCATCAAACTTCTTTTGAACAGTATCTATGGTAAGACGATATTAAAGCCCATTGACAAAAAGATTCGTTTCATCAAGGACAATAAGCTCACTGACTATATCATTAAGAACTATAATGACATACAGACAATAGAGTTCATCCCCGATTCCGAACTTTCATGTGTAAAGTCATTTAAACCTATCGTTCGTCACTTTAACTATTGTCCATTAGGTGTTTCAATCCTTTCTATGTCCAAACGAATCATGAATGAAGTATTCTTCACAGCAGAAGATTTGGGCTTGAAGTTGTTCTATCAGGATACAGATAGTTTACACTTGTATGAGAAGGACTTAGATAAGTTAGCAGAAGAATACAAGAGAAGGTATAACAGAGAACTCATTGGAAAAGCACTGGGTCAATTTCATTCAGACTTTGCAGAGATTACTGCAGGACATATGTCTAAGGCACAAAGATCTATATTCGTTGGAAAGAAGACTTACCTCGACGAATTAACCAATGACCTCAAGGAAATTGCTTTCCACTGTCGAATGAAGGGAATCACACAGGACGTAATTGCACTTACTGCAAACCAAATGTTCCCAGATGCGATACAAGTACATTATGACGAGAAGAAAGGTTTGTTCTTCCCTGAGAAAGTTGGGGAAAAATATAGCATCGTGGAATTGTACAAATCTCTTTATGAAGGTGATGAGATAACCTTTGACTTGTGCATTGGTTCGAAACCATGCTTCAACAAAAATAAGGACTTCACTATTTCAACGAAGTCATCTTTTGAACGTAAGTTAAAGTTCTAAACACTTACTTATTATTTTTCTTAGCTTCTTCCTCTTCTCTCAATTTCTTTGCAATCATTCGTGGATTCTTTGCGCGTCCAGCTGCTAATGCAGCTAATTGTTTCTCTGTGAGTTTACGCTTTGGTTTAGCTGGTTTCTCTTCTTGTGTTTGTTCTTTTGGTTTGAGTTCATTAAGTATTTCTTCACGAAGTTCATTCTTGAGTGCTTCTCTGTCGAAAGTATTCTCAGTCATTTTGTTAGGAGTAAAAAATTTTATTAGGATAGAAATGACGTCAAAACTTTCACCAAGTGAAAAGCAATCAATCATATTGAATGAAGCTAAAGGAATACAACATCCATTATATTATGTTTGTCATATGAAGAATGGTTCAGTTCAAGTTAGAAAGAGAAAGGCACCATTGAATTCACCAGCTCCTGCCCCAGCTCCTGTTGTTCAAGAAGCTCCTAAAGTTGATGAGAAGAAAGAAGAAGAACAAGCATATACTAATAAAATGTTGTTAGAGATGATGACAAAGATATTAGAACGTAACAGTGTAGTTAATGAACCAAACATGGACCCAATTGAACGTGAGAAGGAAACTAAAGAGAATCAAGAATATGTTCAATCAATGGAAGAGAAAAGAATACACTTCGATGATGAACCAGAGCCTGAACCAGAACCTCCTAAACCTCAGCCACAAATAAGACGAATAATCCCAAGAATAAGAAGATTGTAAATTTTTTATAGCTGAGAAAGATGTTGAACGATAACCTCAATACATACAGTATTGCTGATTCCATCAGACAAGTAAGATATTATTTCGATCAAGTTGATGGGGCAGTTCCTATTGGAGATACTAACCATAGATATGTCCCAACAAAAGTGCCAGCTATGCCGACAAATACTATTGATAACGGTTATATTACATTTAACATATCACCACCTGGTGAGAACATGATTGACTTATATAATACGTTCATTAGTGGTTATGTCGATGGTGAGTGCATAATTACAACAGAAACTGAACCAGCTGATGAAAAAGTTCCTAAATATGATGGTGAAGTATATAAAGAAAGAGCTGTTGAGACAGCTCCTACAGGATCAAATGTTACAGCAATTAAAGCAATTGATACTAAATATGCTGGTGGCAAATCATGTGCACATCTTCCAGCAATTTGGTTGGGATACATTGATTCATTCTATGCTGTTGAATCATATCAATTAATCGCTAATGGTAAAAGTGTTTATACACAAGATAATGCTAGAGAAGAAGGTTACATTACTTCTACTGCATCTACAACAGAAGCTATTAAGAAAGTTGATGTATTTAGTAAGGCTAGACATAAAGATGTTTTCAATAGATGTGATACAGTTCGTTCTGGACAGATTATTGAGTTCAATAAACCAATTAGTGGTGCAACTACATTAAAGTTCCACATACCAATCAAGATTGACCTAAGAAGATTCCTAATACTTAATAACATTAGATTCCTTCCAGCGTTTGCTGGTAACTTACAACTTAAGGTTAAGTTCAGTATTGCTGGTATGGTTTGGACACCATTAAGTTATCAGGATATTCTACCATTACCGAACATGCAAGCCAATGTTACAAGCTATATTCCAATCACTAATCACTTCACTCCTATCTATGAAGGTATCAAAGTTATTGATACTGTAACTTGGAATGCCGATAAGAGTACGATATCATTTGGTACCAAGTTTATTAAGTTCACTAAGAAGAATGCAAACTTCTTTGAAATGATTACATACTGTAACTCATTCTCTTTGGACCCTAACATCTATAGTGATTTGGTGACAAGATATTCGGCAAAGACTCTAAACTTCCCAATCAAAAGAATTGACTGCATTACTATGGATGGTTCAATGGCTAAAGGTGAAGGAACTCCTTGTACATTCACGGCAGCATTTACTCCATTATATGTGAACACCATTTATACACTATTTAAGAAAACACCTAATTATAACACTACCTATGAAAATCCATTGTTTGAACAAATTCAATTGAACTGTGGAGCATATGGTAACATACCCGCTGAGGCTCAAGCATCTAATGATCCAATCTTCTATGAGATGCAGGCAAATGCCACTAACAATAATAACGATACTGTTGGCTTCAACTATGATGTCATGAGGTCTATCACAACCACATCAGTCCCTCAATTTGGAATCGAGTCAAATGACTTAGGTCATTACCTATGTGGATTCCCTTGCGAAACTGATTATACATTCCAACAGGGTCAGTTATCTAATTCACCTATTACATATAAGCTTACAGTTAAGCCAACAGCAGAGTCTATTAAATATACTGAGAAACCAGTGTTATGCTTCTTACGTCACGTTTGCCTCTCCATACAGATTAAACAGGTGGGACCACCTATCGTACTTCTCGACGATTATGATTTATCAGCCCCTGCTAGTGAATAAAGGTTAGTTTACATATGAACGTTTATTTTTACACATATATGCGTACATATGCGCGCCCGTATGGTGTCAGTTTTCTGTCACTTTTTTCATTGTGTCGGTGCCTGTAGCTGTAGGCTACAGGCGACGCACAATGTATACTGTACTTTTGATTAAAATTTGTTAATCAAATTAATAATTTTTTTTCTAAATATCTTAAATATCTGGATCACTCACTGATACGATGAATTAAACGATAAAAATAATACAAACTCAACTAAGTTTCCTGTCTTTCAACCAAAAAATATTATGCAATTTAAATTAAATTGTTTATTCAAAGATAAAACAAAGATAAAGTAATTATAATTATCATATACTTTATGAATAACTCTCTAATTGGATAAGATTTTCGTACAAATATTTTTATTAATATCGATAAGAATATGTTTACCTACTATCACCATATGTCGATAAACGAGAGTAGAGTGATTTTTATCATCGAAACTTTTTAAAAGCTGTAAGCAGGAAGTAATAATCTTGTTTTTTCTGAGTTAGTTGTAGAACTATTGATGCCCGAGTTATCATTGTGATGCAGAAGGATATCAATGTACTGACTGAAGGATATGAATTGAATTGAATTTTATTGAATTTCAATTTGATCAAATTTGTTGAAATGATATGAATGTGTCAACATCTGTATCACTCTCTTTCACTCCTTCCTTATTCTTTCGAGAACGAAGCTAGCTCAGCTTTCGCTGAGCGAATTGACACTTTTCATGCCCTAAACGTACATACTCTCAAATTTATCGAAAAAATTATTACCACCTAAACTAGTATATTCTTATTTTAAATATGATATTATCCTTATATTCCACACTAAAATTCATTTAAATCAACTTTTAAAAAAAGTTCGAATCCTGCGCGTCTCACTTTTTAAATTTTCCAAATGGAAAATTATATTCTCCTAAAGTGAAAACAATTTTCCAAATTGACTTCCTTATTAAGTGATAAGTTTATCTGATAACTTATATATTTGTTTCGCATATTACATCGAAGAGATTTAAATCAAATATGATATATGCTAACTCATCAGAAAAATCGTGAGGCTTTCCTAGCTCAATAGGATAGAGCTTTGGACTTTTAATCCAAGGGTTTGGGGTTCGAGTCCCCAGGATAGCGTTTTTTGCAATTTTTATTCTTCGCTAAGGATATGATGATTCCCCATCTATGCATTCATTTCAAATATATTGAGGTAGTTTTTTTTGAAAGAAACAGGAAATAGTATTCTAAAACGGTAAATTTAATATATATAAATAATAAAATTGAAATACATGGTTATATTTATTGGTCAACATTGTGGTACTTAAGAATCCACTTAGAGAAGTATGGGCACTTCAAGAATGCCTTATATTCCTTCTCGTTAAGTGCATCAAGAAGTAATTTGTTAACCTTGTCAAATGAAGACCTTCCAACGCGGTTCATATCTTCATGAGCAGATGTAGCAATCTTAATGAAGTTAGATGGTAAAGATCCAAGCTTTTCCATGACTAATCTGTGAACTTTAACTTGTTTCTGTGGATTTGGTGGATAGTTGGCCTTGTACTCTCTGGCATACTCAATGAACTCGATAACACCCTCTGTCTTCCTTTCTGTAAGGAATCTCTTGAAGTATCTCATCAAGTTTTCATCTGTGAAGATTTCCTCGATTGGTGGGATGTAGTGTGCAGAGTCATTAGAATCGAAATGGGCTTTCTTTCCATCTGAGCCATTTGCATCTTGATTTTCTGCCTTCTGTGTAACTCTCTTTGCACTGAATCTGTTCTGTACTGGTGCAATAGGAGCTTGTGTCCTTGGTCCTTTGTTGGCAAGGCGCTGTGCAAGTGCTATGCAATCCATAATTATGATTTTTTTTTATTCTCTAAACGTACAGTTTTTTATCAAATATTTTATTGATAATACTGTATGTAAATAGCTTGTACTTCAATAATTATGAATATTAAAATTGAATTGGATTTTGCGTTAAGGGAAATAATTCTTGAATAAAATTGAAAACAAATTCAATCATTCAGACAAAATAAATAGGAAATTATCCGAAAGAAATGAATAATATGTTGATCCAAACGGGTTTGATTTGTTCATGTCCAATAAAATTTTGAATTTGACAAATCAAATGACAAAATTCTTCAAATCAATGATTTTTGGTATATGATTTAACCAAAGAATGAAGGTCTGTTTTGTATTACGCCGAAAAATTCAATTGCACAAAGAGTAAAATAAGAATCAACAGGATTACTTGATTCTGTCTGAGTAATCTTAATATATCTGAATGGACCAGCTTCTGTAACTGTCCATGTGCAAATACTAACATCATTTTCAAAAACATTATTATTTCTGTGTTCATCAATAATTTGCCATGAAATTTCATCTGTTGAGCCTTCTACTATCCAGGATTTCGGGCTCCATCCTATTCCCAATGCTGTTGGGATGCGTATTGTGTAAGCATGTACAGAAATTACCTTATCAATGAAATCAATTTTGACCCATGATCTCTTTTTAGGCATTGATATCCATTTACAAAATCTTATGTTTTCTACGATATCGTCTACACAATTTGATATATGGCTTGTCGATGAAGCAGAACATTTAATAATTCCGGATGATGCTAATGAATCTGAAGTCTGCTGACGAAGCCAAAAGAAAATTCCTTTCATTGGCTTTCCAGTAAATTCGATTGTTTTGAGTGATGTTGGTGAATTGAAATCTGATTGACTGCCAATCGGAGAATTTGCTCTTTCTGGGAGTTTTATCATTGATCTTTTAAGATTTTCTATTTCGTGGTGTTGTTTGTCAAGCTTTTTCGATAATTTAGAAATTTCTGCTTGCATTGTTTCAATAACATCTTTCTGATTGTAAAGATTTGCTCTAGTGTAGTTTAATAAATCTGTAAGTTTCTGTATTTTAAAAATTGATGATATTAATAGCAAATCATCAACATTTTCAGTGCTAACAATGAATGGTTTCTTGTGGCATGCATTTAAAAACTCTCTAAATGCTTCATTTTTGCATTTTAAATACAATGAATTCTTTCCTGTTAATCTGATTTCTGCATATAATGGAGAAATACTTGCAAAATAGTCTCCATAAACTTTATATTCTATTCCATTACATATTATAGTTTCCATCTCTCCTGATAAGTCATCAAAAGAAATCGGAGGTAAACAAATCATTGATCAAAATTCTACAAAATGATAACAAAAATGTTACATAACGAATAAAAATCAACAATTTTTAGAGGGTTTGCTTGTCTATGATTCGATTTTGTTGAGATATTTTTGGAATGAATTTAGTAGTATATGTTGAAGGGTTTTGTGACTTTTTTTGTAAACGTAAGAATTCATACATTTTTGAGCGATTTTGTATCATTTTTTTTTACATATGAAGTAAAAAATGTATGATTTTTACGGTTTTTATTCTTACGTTTTTGAATAAATCAAGATTTAAAAATTTTCAGAATCGTAAGAAATTTTCACTAAACCCATACATAATGAAATAAAAAAAAATAAAAAAAATAAAAAAATAAACTTTAAAAATTCATGTCTTACATTTTTTGAATAATTTATTTTTTTAATTCGTATGAAAATGAGTGAATCAAAATTCGTGACTGTGAATCAATTAATGAATAAACTTTCACCAATTCTCACCCATGTTAAACAAGTAGACGTTTATTTTGATGATTGCATAGAAAGTTTATTTTATAAAGGTAAGTTTAATATTAAACCTATTGCTTTTGCATTTGATGGTAAATTAATCGAAAATTCAAAAATTTGGGAATTAATTCCGGATATTGAATTTATAACAAATATTAAGGATAAGTGGTTTAAACAACAAAACCTTTTCACTAAAGTTCTTTGTAGATTAATGATTAAAACTGAGGAAAAAGAATTTAACGGATTTAAATATCATCCATGTAAAATTTTAGAACTTGGTAACGAAAAACTTCAGAAAAAATTAAACGAAAGACTATCAAAAGATAAAGTTGAAAGAGTAAATAAACTCACTAAAGGTAATGATGATGAAGATGAATTTGATGAGTTCAACATTGAACTTTAAGAAACTAATGATTATTTGAATTTATGAAATCAATAATTTGATTTATTCGCTCTTCAATAATTTCTATTCTTTTTGTTAAATCATCAATTTTCATTAATGAGGTGATTCTTGATTGAGGAATAGATTTTAAACTAACAACACCTTTTATTTTTGAAATTTTGAATCCATGACCCTCCGGGTCTTGGACTCTGTCCTCAACTTTAAACATTTTATTCAATTTACATGTTGTCAATTCTTCAAATAATTTTTTATTATTAGCATAATAGTCATTAAATTCATCAACAGATGAAAAAATTTTTATTTCAGTAATTGGTTTAACAACGTTTATTTTTTGTTGAACATTTTCACTTTCATTTATTTCTTCCTCCTCTGTTTCATTTATTTTTAAAATCGGTTTCATTTATCATTAAATAAAAAATTAGAATATAAGTGATGAAATATATTTTTTAATTAATATTAAATCAGAGATGGCGGCAGGATTCTTTAAAAAATTATGGGAAGGAATTAAGAAAGCTGCAAGTTGGGTTCATCAAAAGATTATTAAACCCGTTGCAAACTTTTTGGCACCAGTAGCGAAAACGGCAGGAACTATCATAGGAGGAGTATTAGGTGCTAAAGCAGGTAATCCGGCGATGGGAGCACAAGCAGGTAACGCAGTTGGTGGAATTGCTGAAGGAATACTTAATAAAATAGGGGTAGATAGTGGAAAAATAAATAAATATTATTTTTATCTTAGTATCGGTTGTAGTCGACGATAAACCTTATCTCCTTTATTTAATACTTCCCTTACCGGAACATTAGGTGCTATTTGTTCAGCAACGTCACTAATTGCTTCTTTATTCTTAAATATCCAATTTGCTCCTTTCTTAATCCCTTCCCAAACTTTATGCGCTCCTCTTTTTACTTTATCCCACAGTTTCTTAAAGAATCCTGCAGCCATAGTTGATTATTTCATTAAAATTAAAAATTCATTTTCATCTTTTAATTTTGATTTTTTATTTAATAATAAATGACGACTAACTATTTAGTGCCAAACACTAAACCGATTAATGGAAATGTATTTCATTCATTCGAAAAGATAAATGAAATATTCGCAAAGAATGATGGAAGAAGATATTATAGAGAACTTGAAAGTTCATGCTATGACTCTGATGCTCCATATTTTGATGATAAACAAACTCATTTAAGAATTACAAATCCGGCTCATGATGTGAACCAATTAGGTGACACATATATTAAACGCAAAGTTAAAGCAACTCTAGTTTCAAATAAAGCTTTCACATGTGATGCCGCTTTTAAATGCATGCGTTTATTCGTTGGTTATAAATCATCAAATCAAAGCTTTAAGCAATTAGAAGTAGAAACCGAAAGAGGTGATGCTGGTTATCTTCAGATGGATTGCGCCCGTGAATCTTTCGCATTTGCAACATATAAACCAAAATCAGAAAGGAAAGTTAAAAAGTTTGTTCATTCGTTATATAATAATGTTCAAAAATATGATAACTCAGTATGTGGTAAATATATTGACCCTTCAGAAGTTTTCAAGAAAGCAAATGAAGAAGTTGATGTCACTTTTGATATGATTATTCCGGTAAATGATTTGTTAGCATTTCAGGCGTTCGATGATTATCCTAAATCATTTGGTGAAATCATTCTTAAATATTATGTTTTCAGGGATACTTTAGTATTTTGTCAGGTTGACCCGTTAAGAGTTGCTGATTTACAAAATTACGTTTATGAAAAGATAACTGATGAAAATTATGAAAAGATTATGAATCATGTTTATAAATATGATCGCAAATTCCAACAAATCGGACTTCCTGCCAAATTAATTACAAGCTTAGCTACATCTGCTGACGCAACAGTTGAAGACGTTATTATTTCATGCACAAAGATGGAAGTTTTAGAGGATAAATGCATTACACCAGGATACGGTTTAATTGAAGAATCAGTTAAAGCAATACCACGTTTATTTAGTAAGGAAGATCCATTCATGATTCCAGCTCAACATATTGACGTTCGTTCACTAAATGGAGGTTGCATCACTCCTGAAGGTATTAGCTCAGATTTCTCATACGCTCTTCATAATGTTACAGATGTTGTGTTAACATTTCCGAAGAATGCAATGCAAAGAACGGTTTTAGAAAATCCAATGCTTCGAGGTCTTCAGGTCACTATAGATTCCAGAAACTTCCCCGATCAAGCGATGACCACAGTGGGTGACATATTCTTTACACGTATGCTTCAAGCTTCTGATTTAGATGGAGTGAATGAATGCACAGAAGAATACGAGGACTCATTAACTAGACCACTGAATGATGATGATGGCACACCATTAGCTAGAACATGGAAAGACCAAACTTCATTCTTATGCACTATTCCAGTTCAACGTGATGGAGCGGGTATATTCTTTGATGGATTAGAAACTTTCAACTCACAAGTTACAGTACAAGTGAAAGCTTATCCAATCATTCAGGGTGAAAATGACACTTACTGTTCAAAAGTGACAAATCCTCCTCAGGTTTGGTTTACTAGGACTACATATTGGACATGGACACCGGATGAAGGTTTGAAATATCATCCAACAGGTACACCACCGCAGTATAGAAGTTCATATGATGAAATATTGATGAATAGAAATGTTTAAAATTATAAATTTATTTTTGATTAAATGGATTTAAATTCATCCACCCCTTATGAAGAATTAGCAGGAGTATATAATACATACGTAGATGATATGATTAATGAAGCATTGAGTGATAATAGAAATGCTCTATCTAAGGAAAAATTAATGAAAATTCCATATTCTGAATGTTACTTAAATTCAATCACTGCAGCAATTGGTAAACAAAATAAAGGTAAAACATTAACGATATTAAAACAAATTATCATTATTGCTAACACTTCACCCTATTCACATGTGTTAATTTATATCAACCGTTCAGGTTCACCTTCAGATGATACATTTGAATCTTTAAAGCATTTAATCAAAATTCCAATTATTTATTTATCACAAGAAGAAGCAGAAGATTATTTAAAAAACTTTGTAATGTATAAAGAATTATATAATACAATCAAGAAGCAAGGATTAGAGGATAAAATTATTGATAAACAACGGGATGAATTATTTGAAACACTTTCTATTTCAAATTTTGATAGAGAATTTTTGCATTCACTCATTTTTCTAGATGATGCGGTGAAATCAAAACTAATAACTAATGAGAAATCATATTTTAATCAATTATTAACTCAATGTCGACACATTCAGTGTTCATTCTTCATGGCTGTTCAATACTTTAAAGCATTAAGCACAAACATTAAATCAAACCTGTCCACCCTTTTCATTTTCAGTGGTTTTAGTCGTCAACAGTTGAACGTTATGCTTTATCAAGTGAATTTACCAATGAGCATTAATGAACTTTACACACAATATCAACAATTAGGAGAACATGGAAAAATAATAGTTGATTTAAATAAAGGTTCCATTAAATTCGAATAACTTTTTATAATTAATTTTTATTTTTTATTTATAATTAAACATGACAGAAATTGCAAATCTTCTACAGGTTCCATTAAAACAAGGAACAAACAAAAAGGGTGCATATAATAGAACTATGAAAGTTCCAGACGGAATGAAAGAATTAGTCCACATTGTTGCCGGTCTTCAAAAGGATGTTAAACAAATGAGAAACGTTTTAACATTACCAGAAGCTCAAGCATATGCCAAACGTCACGGACCAAATTGGGAAGCACACGAAGCAGACATTACGGGTCCAAATGGAAAACCTGATGGAATAAATGAAGTTTTCGTTACTGATGGTCAAGGAAATATTAAAGTCATAAATGGGTATAAATTAACAATGACGGATTATCCTAAACGTAAAGCATATAATGAACATTATCCTATGCAATTTGATGAAAATGGAAAAGCTGTTAAACAATACATTGGAGAAGGTGAAAATGGTCCAATTAATTCATACCGTCATAATCCATATTCTTACTTCAATGAAGAATTAAATGCTATTGAAGAGGGACCGGATGGATTACCACGATATTCTAACCAGTTTGATGGTCAATATGCAAATTTAAGACCTGAAATTCCAGCTAAGAAATTCTTTAAAGTTGCTTTATTCGATCCAGTTTTCGCAAATGTTAAAGATGAACTTAAACAGCAATTCCAACCAATTATAGTAGCAAGAATTGCATCAGGTGCTTTATCTCAAGCATTCAAAGATTTAATTAAGAAACCATTATATCAGCAACGAGGTTTAACTTATGATTTAGTTAAGGAATCAGATAAAAGAAAATTTGAGAAATCAGATGATTATAAGAATGCAATTAATGAATATATTCGGTCTATTAATTTCGATGAAAATGCTAAAAATCAACTTCATGAACAAATACAGGAAATAATAGATTCAAAAGTTCCAGCAAAATAAAAGTTTAAATATATTTTTTTATTCGAATATAAATGAGAAGACGTTTCACTAGTCAAAAGAACACTAACGCAAAAGCAGAGATTACGGTTGGTTATAACGTAAATGATGATAAATCACGAATTATTCAAAATGTTAAAGTTAATGTTAGTCCTGAATTAACAAGGTCAGCAACTCAACCAAATTTATTAACTCGTGACTTACCGAAGAATGAGGAGAATGAAGAAAACCTGAGAATGGAGACCCAATCATTTTATCTGAACCTGGTAAAGAACCTGTTGAAATTCCCACTTATCCAACATACCCCCCACCTCTTTCATCAAACATCGAGAACCCAGGAATCTACGATTACAGTCGCAATGCGCCATATAAAATAGACATTAATTCTGAATTAATGAAAATTTACCGTGATATCATAACTGATAATTATGATTCAATAATAAATTTAATTGACCAATCCGGTTTAATTATTTTACCTTATGAATCATTAATTCACATTATCGCCATTCTTTGTGATGTTCAAGATTCAGACGTGAAGATTCAATTTTTCATAGATGATGAGGTTTCATGCTGCGGAACAGTTGCAAAAATAAATCCTATAAAGGATATTAGCACAATTAAGATATCAAAGAACGGAACAACAACTGAACTTCATTTAACATATAATGATATTTATAATAAAATAGTTGATGAATATAAAATATCACTTGAAAAATTTTTGTTAAGGCTATTTAATATTCAAGCATTAACATTATCGAATAATAATCCTTTGAATCATAATCGATAATAATTGACCTTTCACCAGTTTCTATCGTTTGTTTTATTTCTTTTTGTTCCCCACTATCCGGATCGGTCATTGTAATTGTTTTTGTTATAGTATCAGCTTTATCTTTAACTTCAATCTTTTTTCCATCGGGATATTTAAACCAAAATTCCAAAAATTCGATATTGTCAATCTGTTCATATTTTAATCTATCAATTACATTTTTAATACCATCTGAAAATCTTATGAAATGGTCATTATATGGGTTTGATTGAACTAAATTTGAATGAAGTGAAATATAACCTGATGATGAATATGACATCGACTCATATTTTCTGAAAACACTAAAATTTATAACATGAATGAATTTCTTATTCGTTGAATTTATGAATTCTTGAGGTAATCTTATTCTAGTTTTATTTATCACTGGAAAATAACGCTTTACCATATTTTTAATCGTAATAAAAAAATGTCAATTATCAATATTATTTCGAATAATAACTGTGAATTAAATTTAACAGTTAGCGGAATTTATAATGTTACTCTCGTTTCTGTGAGTGGTAAATTTAATCCCATTCTTTTAGACCCTTCAGATTATATATCATTTATTAAAGATGACCATGAGCCGCATAGCGGCGGGGTCGTAGACCTAAAAACGTATGATATGTATATAAATAATGTGATAACGAAATGGGATATTAACATGATTTTAAGTTATTTAAATGAATCATTTATCGTATGGTATGAAGAAAATTTTAAATCAAAACCTGATAAACTTTTTGAACTTGATGAAATAAATAACCTTATTAAATTTCCGCTGAAAATTAAATTTTGTACTCCTCGTCTTCGTTCATTGTTGGGGATATTAAATTTTGAAAAAGATGTTGGGGATGTTTTGTATTCTGACACTGGTTCTAATTTCATTTTAATCAAATGTGATAAAGTTAATACCCCAATGAGATTTTCACATCAAACATTAGACCCTAACTCTTACCCATCAATACAAAACATTTTATCCATCAACTTAAACATATTTTCTTTATCATATCCGTTTCAATTATCCGGGAATTCATTTATTCTTCATTCAAAAGATTTATCAAATATTAAATTTAGAATAACTGACCTATTTGATTGTGATTTAGAATTTATGAATGAAATATTATGGCAATTTCAAATAGAAAAAATAGCTGATGAGATAACAGATTAAATATTTATTTTTAAATCGTAATAAATGATTAAACAACAGCAACCACAGACCATTACATACGCCATATATGCATATAATTCAAAGACGGCAGAACAAACGCAAATGTTGAAATATGGAGATTTGGAGATAGTATTGAAAAATGACCATTTCGAATTCGTTTGCAAAGGTGGTGCAGTGATATCAAATATAAAAGAAATTTTATTTATGAATTCAAAAATTAAAGGAATAACGGATGATATAACATCAATTCCACCAGAAGAACAAAGATATTACGCATTAAATGCATTTCCTAAAGTTTTGAAGATTGGAAGATTTAATTTAAATGAGGAATTCATAAAAGGTTTCCTAAATGACATAATGAAGAAAGCAGATAAGGAATATGTTAACGATGAGTTAGCAAAGAAAGCAGATATATCATTTGTTAACGATGAGTTAGCAAAGAAAGCAGATAAAACTTATGTTAACGATGAGTTAGCAAAGAAAGCAGATATATCATTTGTTAACGATGAGTTAGCAAAGAAGGCAGATAAGGAATATGTTAACGATGAGTTAGCAAAGAAGGCAGATAAGGAATATGTTAATGAAAAAGATAATGAAATTATAGAAAGGGTTGAATGGTATCATGAACGGACATCGAAGATTCTTAAAACTAAAGCTGATACAGGATGGGTTTCAGAATGTTTAGACCTTAAAGCAGATATATCATTTGTTAACGATGAGTTAGGGAAGAAAGCAGATAAGGAATATGTTAACGATGAGTTAGCAAAGAAAGCAGATAAGGAATATGTTAACGATGAGTTAGCAAAGAAGGCAGATAAGGAATATGTTAACGATGAGTTAGCAAAGAAAGCAGATATATCATTTGTTAACGAAATATACCAAAGTTTAGTTGGAACAAAAAATATTGAAACTATTGTTGGCGACTTTTCTGTCAATGAAGAAAACAAATATTTTAGATGGGAGTTTGTACAGTCCTTAAGAAATGGTATACGGTATAAACTCATTCCGAAAAATAACAATGAAATGTATGTAGGCTATATAAAGAATAATGGCACACAAGTTAAAGTTCCATTAGACAACAACTGCTACTTAAACTTATATGGAGACGAACAAAAGAAATATTTAAGAGTTTATGAAATGACGGATATGACATTGTCTAACGTAGCTCCAGCACCGTATTATTATGACTATGGTGTTGACGCACATGTAGACCCAAAAAAGCAAACATTATATTTAGATTATTATAGATATAAAAGATATAATGCAATAGAAAAAACGAGAATAGTATACTATTATGAAGATGACAAAAATAAATATTATAGTCAAGATTTTACATACCCTGAAAACATAAGATTATATTATAAAAAATATTCTGACACAAACCAGAAGAAACCCGAAATAGTTACACTATATTTTAAGTTCAAAAGAGACAATCCTATAATATCTCATATGTTTGATTTAATGAACCCAGTAGGTTCTATTTATACATCTATGGATGTGAGAGGTCCTCAAGCAATGTTTGGTGTTGGTGCATGGGAACAAATAGTCGACAGGTTTTTGTATTGTGCAAACTCTTCAAAGGAAACAGGGGGAAGTAAAACAATTACGGGTGAAAATTTACCTGCACACAGTCACTACATAGATTTAAGCACATCTCAAGCAGGTTGGCATAAGCATAGATATTGGGATTGGTCAGGAATGACAAAAGGTAAAGGATATGATGTTAAAGATGATGTTAAATTTGCCATAAATTGTTACTGGAGTGACACTCAGGGAGAAGGAAACCATACACATCGCGTTTCAGGATATACACAAACAACGGGACAAAGTAAAGATTACATGCCACCATTTATGACTGTATTCGCATGGTATAGAGTTCAATGAACGCTCAATGTTTGTGAAACAAACTTTAGGAGCTCCAAAAGAGCAAACAGCATAATTTAAATTTTTATTTTAGTATAAATGAAGATTCTACCATATGGTGTTATTGGAAGAGATAAAGATGGAAACCCAATATTTGATCCAAAGTTAAAATTAAAGTTACTGACAAGACAACAACTTGAAAAGTTGCTGAAACCAAAACAGAATGAAAAATGAGAAAATGAGAAAATGAGAAAGAAAAAAAATTTAAATTATGCAATTTTATTTTTATCATAAATGACCAAATTAATTAAGCCAACTATTTCTAAATTAATGATACCAATGAAATCATTTCATGGAGTACTTATCCCAGGTTCTTCACAATTAGCCGGGGCAAGTGTTGTGACTCAAGGTGGAACATTAGCGAATCCATTCAAATTATTAACTAAAGATGAACTTAATAAAATGATGATAAAATAACTGATAACAAAATTTTATTTCACTACTACCATAAAAACAGGTGAAAAAACAGGTGATATCTCACCTCTTCACCTAAATTATATTTTAGGTCAAAGCTTCCACGAGAGAAAAGATTCCTCATTCGCTAAGGATTCCAAAAATGAAAAAATCATTGATTTCGGCTGAGAAAAAACAGCAAAACCCTTCTTCCACGGGAACAAAGAAATAAAGAAGAAATAAAGAAGAAATAAAGTAAATTTTTTATTTATTCCCGTGGAAGATAGAGCACTTTTATGATACTTTTTATTCACGACAAACAAGACAAATAAAGAAAATAAGAAAATACGGCGCTGTCGCGGTTCGAACCACAGACCTTGACCCCTCCATAACACCACCTTAGACCACTGTGCTACGTAGCCTGTCGACATAAGATTTTATAAATTGCATATTTGACGTAAATTTATTTCCCAGTTATTCAAAAATAATTAATTATTGAATAACCTAAAAACATTCACGATAAAATAAGTGATAACAAATTTTTATTTTTATCATAAATGAATACCCCACAAGCTCAAAATTTACCACGAATCATAACAAGGGAGGAAATGATAAAAATGATGCAAGAACATGTTAAAAATAACAAACCACTAAAATTGAGAAAATGTGGTTATGCGGTAATGATGGAAAGAGAGATGTTGTCGAAGAGGAATAAAAATTAAATTTGGATAGAGTTTAAAAATTCATCTTTATTAAATTCATCTCTTCCAATCAATTTATTTATTCTATTAAATTCTTTTATTTTTGCTTCACTCAGTTTAAGGATTGAACGATAAGTTTCTAATTTTTCGATTATTTCTTTCCTCTCTTTATCGTTTTCAACCCCACCACATTGTGGCTTCTTTTTGTAATAACATATTTTTGATTTAATTCTGTTTAGTTTCTTTTTATATTCATCGTCTGGACTCTTGACTGCTTCGTTGTTACTCATTTCTTACGAAATAAAAAAATTAAATATTATTTAAATATAATGGAGTAATAAAATAAATCGGAATTTCTATTAATTTATTGTCAACTTCAACTAATGCATTGCCGTTAATATATCTAACAAATTCAGCTATTGTGTCAAATCTTCGTCTTCTTTTTGTCATTGATTTATCAGTTTTTCCATAATCGAGATGAATCAAAACTTTATCCCCTTGTTTAAAATTCATGAGCCCCGAATTAATTTGTTCACGTTTAACATCATTCAACCTTTCCATTTGCTTTCTAATATATTCCCATTCTTTTGAAATATCATTTTTCATTTCCACCGGTTTCATGTTTATTGTTCTATGCCATGTATTATTGTAATAATATACTAACTGCTGTATGATGGAGTCATGATTTCCATCCCAGTATATCTGACCATTAACCCCTAACGCATCTCTAAGAGTTCTCATTACCGCATCAACTATTTTATTATGAAACGTATATGGAGAGGATGAAAAGTAAAAATTAATTTGTGGGAAATAATGAGCCATAGCTGCCTGAAATCCTTTATCACCATCACCCCTTATATTATCTACTCTTTCATGATCTAGTAAGTATTGAATAGCTCTTCTTGTTTCCTGTTCTGTTTTCCCTTTCACCGGAATGCAATATAAATATCTGGTGTTAATGTTAATGGCAAATAAATAAGTAACGTTTCCTCTTGAATATTCTAAATGATCGATTTCGTATGAATATGGATATGGTGCAAATGAAGGGCGACTAAATTTTTCCTTTAACGGTTGAATTTTTGGGTCAGTTGGTTTATTTAATATTTTGAAATCCTTTTTAAAATCTTTTTGCTTCTTTAATGTTTGAAATGGATATAATAAAGTGAATGATGAAGGATTAACTGAAGGAGGAGGAGGTACTGTCGTTGGAGGGTTTGGTGTTGCAGGTGGTTTAATTTTATCTGCTTTGATTTTGGATTTCATTCCCCCCTTCATTAATTCTGGATGTATTCTATTCATTTGTTTTAAATATGCTGTATATAAAGGTTTGATATACTTTCCCGCTTCGAGTTTATGTTGAAGGATGAATTCCAAAAGTTGATCTTCATTTAAAAGTCGGGCTGAATATGGTTTAACTAATGAATCATAAATTAAAGCTTGTGCTTCATTTATGGTCTGAAGGACCTGGGCGTTTTGCACCTTTTGTTTTTGTTCCTTTGGTTTTTGCGGCTCAGGATTATATAATTTATATAATTTATATAATTCATCAATATCTTCTTCTGTTAATACTTTATTTTTGAAATCTTTCAATTGTTTAAGTTGTGATTTACTTTTTCCCTTTGAATATTCATTATTTTTAATTTTGTCTTTAATTTTAGAAATTATTTTATCATGATATTTCAAAACTTCATTTTTATAATACGAATAATAATAATCCATATCATCACCCGTTATATTGTTATCATGTTTTTGGAGATATGATTTTAATTCATAATAATTAAGAAAATTTTGATTAAGTACTAAATCATCAATTAAATTTTTTAAATCTACGCTATTCATTTATATAAAAATAAAATAAGTGTTTTAAGGGTGCCCGCCTCTTTGAATCATAGTATCAAAACCATTATTTACGGTTCCTTTTGTCTCTTCTGTGGCATTTTATTAAATAAATGGCATACAACATCCATTTTCACAACATACAGCCTTAGTGTGTGCTCCTGTTAATGCAGTCTTACCGATTGTTAAGCGAGTCATTGACCCGTTTTTAAGTTGTAAATTAATATTCTGACCATCAAATATCACTTTATCATTTATTATATCCAAATAATTTTTAGGTGTTAATTGTTTATTTTGTCGTAAACTAACTCCTTTCATTTTTTGTGCAATCTTTTTAAAATCACTTCCATCAATTGAACCGTTGAATGAAGTATAACACTTAGGACATAAAGCAACCATGTTATCACCTTGTTTCTCAATTGCTAAACCCAATAACTTCTTCTCATGTGCTTTTTCTTCAGCTTTATTCTTTAATTTAGGTTTAAATTTCTCATTAAAACAGAAGAAATCAAAAGGTGCGAATTTGTAAATGTTTTTATCATAAAATTTTTTATCGGTTACAATTGCTTGAAATGCTTGAGTGTTAGGAAGATTTGGGTCGCCAGCGATTGCCCAATAAGATGAATCAGTATCACCTTCAATGAAATGAAAACGATTAACATCCATGCATTTATACATAAAATCATAAATGAAAACCAAATACCAGTATTTTGCGTTATCTAAAGTGAAGAATGCCTCTTGTAAACATGTATCACATCTATAAAATCTATCTTTAAGCATCACTTGATACGTATCCTCTCCTATTTCTCTTATGTTTTTAAACTTATTTGACATACATGCAACGCGTGCCTTCTGTGCATTCATTATTTTAGTCTTTGCGTAATTTTGTGTATTCATTGCATCGTAACCATATGATCCATTAAGTGAAATCTTGCAAAATAAACTTTTTCCTTTATTTCCTTCTAATTCAGCCTTTTGTCTTTCGTTCATAAATTCATTCGCAAATTCATTAAAACAAGTATTTTTCGTAAATGTTAAAATTGATTGAATGTCATCAATGATAAAATGAAATCTGTCTATTAGATACCAAAGATAATAAGAAGAAAATGGTTGATATTGGTTGTGTGTTGATGCTAACTGAGTTAATTTCCTCTGTTTCTGGTCAACTGGTAGATTGTTTGATTTCATGTAATTATACATAAAACCACCAATTGTTTTTTCATCTGTGATAATATCAAAGTTTCTTATTATTGGTAAAAAGTTTATGTAATCATTAATGTATTTTTCATCAATGTGACCCTTTACTTCAGCCACGAATAAAGTATTTTTCTTCTTAATTATTCCCAGTGCTTTTGCTTTCTTTGTTGCTGTATCACAAATGATAACACCATTCAATCTTCCCGGCATATACATTTTATGGTCAGTATATTGAATGAAATCATGAGGATTAGATGAAAATGATGAAGGATATAATGAATTAAAGTCAACACCAACGAAATGAGTCATAATGTTGGAAGTGTCCTCATTTGATACAGTTTTAGTTTCTGGATTATATGAAAGTTTATTAATGTGCGTGATTCCTTTAAGATTTACTCTATGTTGAACATTTGATAAACCACCAGTAATTCCATTACGGAGGATGTGATAAGCTTCAACTGAATCTAGAGTCATTGGTAAATTATTTTTTAATGTATAATTTCTTAAATTGATTCTTAAACGTTGAACATCTTCATCTTTATTTGATTTTACGACATTGCAATAACAACACATTAACTGACAATTTTCTTTGGTATGTGGTTTTTCATTATCGATTCTATCTAATGTTGGTTTATTAGCATATGTAAACGCTTTACCACACATTTTGCATTTAGATGAAAGGATTAAATCGTGATAGTATTGATAGTCATCCATTGAAACATTGTTTTTAGTATCCCTTTCTGCTTTTTCATCTTGTTTCTTATATGAATCAATTTTATATTTCCAATACTTTTTTGTTAATTCAAAACTTGATTCCACATTTTCTTCTTCTGGATATGTTTCGTTAGGATTGAAGTTCTTATATGCTAACGCGTAACGAATCATTGATGCATTCGATGATAAAGAAAGATTATGAAGCATGTCAATTTTATAAACAAATGTTTCTTCAATAATTTTATCAATTGGGTCAATCATAATTTCAACGTCTTTATTGCAATAATGAATAAAATATTCTAATCTATTCTCAAAATTTTTAGCATCATTGAGATATATTTGATAATCTGAATCGGATATTGTTTCTTGAGTTAATGCTGAATAAAATGAATCTTGAGTGAATGGTTCCACTTTATATAATTCATCTTCGTAATTCTCCCATGTGATGAATTGATAAGGGAAAAAGGATTTAACACGTGATTTATTGTTTCCGAAATCTTGAGTGAATTGGTCTAATGTTCCCACCCGCTATATAATTTTGATGTCAATAAATCTTAATTCATATGGACAGTTTGTTTTCTTTACAATGATTTGCTTAAATTGAGAAGAAAACCCAGCATTGATTTTATTTCCATTTTTGCAGTGTTTAAATCACGAAGAATTAAATTTAAATCAAACTTTCCCGAATTAAAACCTATGATATTCACTTTATTGAATTCCTCATCTAGAAGTTCTTTAAATGCTTCCTTCTGTTTTTCATTTAATGTATGGGACAAAGTCCCCGCCGTTTGTCCGTTTGCGGCTTCATTAATTCTTCATATTGTTCAATATTTGATTTAGCAACTAATGAACAGGTTGAAAATAAAAATTCAATCCAATCAGAGATGAACGAATCACTTGATGTTAAGCAAAAATTCCTCGTAAATGTTTTATCACGGTCTACGACCTCGCCGCTTCGGTCTGAAAGACCTTCAGGACTCAAAGAGTCCGTTTGCGGCTTTATTTTGACAGTTGATGATACATAAATGGTTTTAAGTAAGCGTTCAAAGTTGCACATTCAGAAAGTTGAAAGTTCTTCTTTAGTCTCTAATGTTTCGAAGTCAAAAGTAATATAATATCTTGTTGGTTTATAATATTCCTGCAAATTATGTGCTAATAGCCATTGATATATCTTCTGTTTCGTGATATGTGGTGCATATGGTTGTTGTGTGTTTTGCAATTGAACGTCTTGAATTAATCTTCCATTATTTTCTTTACATTTCTCACAATGCTTTAAAAATCTTCTTTGGTTTTTCCTTTCTGGGTCATCACGGATAGAATATACTTCTTCTTTGCAAAAGGGGCAAACTTTATATCCTGTGAGTGCTTCAACGTCTGTAATTCTGTCAGCGTGAAGTTTTCCACATGGACTCTGTGTTAATAAAATATTTACTGTTTCAAAATTCTGGATCTATCATTATTGATTCCACTAATGGAAAGTCTACCTTATTTATGTCTACGTCTTCTGGTTGAGGGTCACAATAATAAAAATCAATATTAACGTTTAACATTCTTGCTAACCTCTCACTTTCTGATGAAATGTCAAATCCTTCATATGCATCTATGGCTTCATTTAAATAACTTCTACGAGTTTTAGGATTAACACCATCAGGAATGTTATAGAAGCGTTTAAATAACCTTCTACCTTCGGCTCTTATTTGATTATCATTCATTTTAGCTGTTCCGTTTTTGTTCATTTATGTAAGAATAAAAAATTAAAAAATAAATAAAAATAAAGTTTATTTTTTTTAAAGTCCAGGGCTAAAGTCCATAAAATGAATTAAGAACACATAAATTTTTATCATCTGCGACGTGACGAATACATTTTAATTTACTCAAGAATGCGTACCCTGATACATTAAATCTAATTCCTGTCTTATTTAATTTCACAACTTTGAAAAGGAATGTATGAATAGCTATAAAATGATGAGATGATGTTTTATGGGTTGCTTCCATTTTTTCTGAAATAAATGAATAAATATAATGTTTATAAGTTTTCATATCTTTTATATTCTTAATAACGAATGGTATAGACCTTTCAACTTCGTCTTCCTTCGGTGCTGTTCTTTCATATGAAACATTATTAGTATCTTCAATAATGAAACCACAATCGCATAAAATTTATATGTACCAATTGTTTCTTTTGATATTTTATCTAACAAATCAAAAACTTTATCAACACCTGCACATTTATTTAAATAATAATTTGTGTAAATATCATGGTCTTCTTTCTTAATCGTATTTGTTGCATATGTTACATTTTTCAGTGCTTTTTTGAATTTTTCAGAATCAAGAGGAGGTGAAAGTAATATACATGGATAATCTCCATCGTCAATAAATTGTAACTTATGTTTATGAATAAATTTTGTGCCTTCTTCTGAAAGTGTTTCATCTATTTCACCATCTAATAAATTTTTAGTAGATTCCAAAAAGTAATTTTTATATCTTTCTTCATGAGATTTTTGAACTTCTGATTCTGAAGCTGGGATATTCATTAAACCCTCTACTTCATTCTCATTATATTTTTCAACTTCTCTTAATTCCTTAATTTTTTCATCTATTTCATCTCTTATTTTTTCCAGTCTTTCAATTTCATCATATTCATCATCTTTAATCCGTTCTTCATAATATTCAGGGAAAACATCAGGTTCTTTAGGTTTTTCTTCTTCAGATGTGGGATATAAGAAATTTATAACATCATCTTTATTCATTTTTCCATCATAATCTAAATCATTTAATAACTCCGCGAATTTTTGACAATTTCTTAAATAATATTTATTAACTTCATAACTCGCCTCCTCTAATATATCCTTTATTTCCTCGTTTGTGAATCCCAATTTTTTAACGTCGTTAGTCTTGACACTCATTTTCATACGAATTAAAAAAATAAATTATTCAAAAAATGTAAGACATGAATTTTTAAAGTTTATTTTTTTATTTTTTTTATTTTTTTTTTATTTCATTATGTATGGGTTTAGTGAAAATTTCTTACGATTCTGAAAATTTTTAAATCTTGATTTATTCAAAAACGTAAGAATAAAAACCGTAAAAATCATACATTTTTTACTTCATATGTAAAAAAAAATGATACAAAATCGCTCAAAAATGTATGAATTCTTACGTTTACAAAAAAAGTCACAAAACCCTTCAACATATACTACTGAATTTCATTATCGAATTGATGTAATATAATGATACAATTCTTATAAAACAGAGATGTAGATATCAGATTATAATAGTAATCTAAAAAAAGTTTAAAATTATTTCAATAAAAACAAACATTCTATGTTTATGCAAATGTAACATTATGTAATAATATGGGTTGATCACCTGAACCAGCAGTTGCGATAAGTGGACTTGTTGGATGGCAGGAAATAGCAAAACCTTTCAAATTAGGCATTGGCTTTTCTAAAACCACAGCGAGAGTATCAATACTAAGTATCTTAAAGGATCCATCTGAGATGCAAGCCACAAAACTCGACTTATCGTTGTAATTTAGGATTTTAAATTGTTTTGTGTTTAAATTAGGAGAAAGCATAGTAATTGGTTCACTAATAGGGCCTTTAGATAAGTTTAAAAGTCGTATCATGCAATTAGGTGCTAATATTAATGCAACATCATCATTATTTAATAATTTGATTTGGTAAAGAGGCGATTTTTTAACATAAATGCTACTGATGCAATAATGATGAGTGACTGGATTGACTGTAGGCAAAAAATTAAAAATTCTCACAATTCCATCTGAAGAAGTAACAATTATGGAATTTTTCTCATTCATTACTGCTATAGAAGTAACTGGATAATATCCTGCACTAAACACACTTGGAGCTACTTCTTTACGTACAATAATGGAAATCGTTCCATCTGAATAACCTATAGCAGCAAATAATCGAGGTGATGATGCAATACAAACTGCATGCTTCTCCTCACCTGGATCATATAAAATTTCGATAGTTTTAGTTTTGATATCTGCTAAAATTGCTTTTCCGTCATTTCTAGCGCATAGTAATATATACCCACAATCGTTCCAAGTGAATTGATTCATAAATCCTAATTTTTGGAATTTTATGATAGGAGATAAATCTTGGCTTTTATAAATGTCCATTGAACCATTTACAGATGATACTGCGAGCAGTGTTCCATTGGGACTGAATTCGCAACAAGTGATTCTATCATCAATTTGATGTTGAGAATCAGTCATAAATCAATAAAATTTTTGCCATAATTTCAGGATTTCTCTTTTTATCCGAATTCATGTTGCCATTAAGGGTGCACCCGCATGTACGTTTATTTGAGAGTAGGAGGATTACCCTCTCAATTTTGAATGCTTCGTTAGCGCAATATCTCGATGAATATTGTATTAAAATTGAATTTGCCCATACCAATATATCTGATGCAATATCCTTAAGTTTTACTAAAAAGAATTTTTTAAAATCCCTGCAGATTCGGGGATTTTTAAATTTTTTGATTTTTTTCGAAAATTTTTCGAAAAAAAAATATTTTCAGAAGAGCCTTAACAGCTAAGTTTTATGTTTAATGTTGAGTATCAAAAAGAATGGGCGTCTGATATAGCCATCATATATCCCAGAAGCAAATAAAAATTCTGACTTTTTAAGCATAAAAAAATGAAATTTTATTTTTTGCAAAAAACAGGCCACCCGGATGTACGTTTATTTGAGAGGAGGAGGATTAAATTTTTGAAAGCAGTAAAATTTGTAAATATTCTAGTTATATAATAATATGTATTATTTTAAAAAATAAAAAATTAAAGCACGTTAAAATTTTTTTTGATGAATTTTTACAAAAGCTACTTATGATTATGCAAAATATAGTAATTAAACATAAATTTCAAATCAGATTTTACTTATGATAAATATTTTAAATTTCCGAAAATTAAGTTCAGATCGACTCGATACGTTGTAATTACTAAATAAGGTGCCAAAAACCTATTAAACAGTATCAAAACTATCAAGATTGTAATGTTTTTGAAGAAAAATTTATAGAATTATGAACTTCAAACAGATATTATGTAAATAAAAATAATATAATGGATTTGTTTATTCGTATAATAGCAGCAATAAGTCGATTATTCACTTCTACTTCTGAGATTTGAATTTAATTTCGACAGAAAAAGAGATTCAAGAGGAAAATACTAGGGAATACAAACTGCCACCATGACAGGATTATTATGGAGCCAAGTTGTACTTTTTGATATTTTTAGAGTTTTACTACCTATTTAGGTACCAAGTAATTGCTTAAAAATTAAGGTTCTAAATTCTGAAGTTTAAATGATCCTCCCGGGCGCACCCTTAACTATAATTCAATTTTTATCAATGTTTTTTGAAAAGGGGGGGAACTCATTTTTTGGACCAAAAAAGTGGCACCTGAGTATATTGTTTCTGCTTTATCTGATCATTGAAACGGAATTGATCCACGTTATTAGTATGAAACAATGATATACTAGGGACTAAAGAATATTAATATTACAAAAATCCAATTATTCGATGTTCAACTCATCATATCTTGCATTAAAGTTGATACCTTTATTTTTTCGAAATATTACAACAGTAGCAACCTTACGTATTACCAATGATAGCCAGAGTACTATTTTGGCATAAAAAAATTAAAACGATATTAAAACAACAGATTGACTAGTCATTCTGGTATAGTATCATGCATACTACCAGGTGATAAAATCTCAAATATCTTATCTTAACTTCGGTTTGATTATGAGATACAGATCTAATGTTGCTTGTTTTGTAGCCATAGTCACTAGCTGATAACATTATTATGATAAGAAGACTAAATGTGCGAGTTTAATATACATTTGATTCAGATTTATTATCGAAAATCAAATCACAATATATATCTTGAACTCATCTGTTAATAAAATCATGATATTATTGATTGTTTTCTGGATGTTTACAATATTTTCTAAACATGTGAAGATAATCCTTAATTTGAACCAGAAATAATTTTAAATTACTAACAATGGATGGTTATCTATATAGAATAATATATTATTTTTGATAGTAAACTATGACTGATTTATAATTTAGGAATATATACTTCTTTTCTATATCTTTGAAAAATAGTTATACGATTTTGCTGTATAAGTGATATATTTTAATAGAAATATTATAGAATAACAAAAATAAAAATGTTTCATCGATTTATAACACAATGAAAAAGGTTTATTTCTCTCTAAATTATAAATTTTCAAAAAAATTAACCTCATTTTTCCTAAAAAAATCGAGAATTGAAAAAAACGTTATCATTTTCTAGAAAATTGCATAGGCTTTTTCTAAAATGGAAAAAATTTGGAGAAACTCACCAAGGAGGACTTCATTCTAGGTGTCAAAAGCAATTGCTATCAGTCAAAAAAACCTCGAAAATTTTAAATATTGATATCGATTTTCATCAATCACTTAAAATCGATTGTTTGCAGTCGATGTTATCACATATTATTAAATTCTAATATACTTAAACATACTACAAATTGTTTTTGAAACTTATCAACATTTCGCGCAATTTAACAATACTGCAACTCTCATACACAGTTCCCATTACCACGGTCTCATTTTAAGAAGAAATGATTAATAAAATCTAAGATCTAACGGTTTAATTACCCAATTCGAATAATTTTTTTAATTATAAATACTTATTTGTGCATGTTTTATATTCAGATGTAGAAAGAAAAACGAATAAAGTGTTGCTTCAGAAAAATACCTGAAAGCACCCTAATCAATAAACAATTTACTTTTTTAGCATCGAATTTTGCTCGTCTTGAGCCATATTTTTCGTTTAATTTTCATAATACGATAATACATATGGGTTATCAAGTAAAATATGGATATTTTAGAAGATGATAATATATCTCGAAATCAAACGAAAGTCATTCTATGAGTCCATACACACTATTACTATACTTCATATGTCAAGCATAATGGTAACAATTTTGGTCGATACCTTTGTTGTCGACGAAGTTCCCCCTTTTGTTTTTTGGAGTTTCATCAATATCTATTAGTATAATTTTTCAAAAAAGAGCGAAATGAATAAAATTTATGGAATAAATAGAAAATAAATACAAATTAAAATAAAATTATGGATCCAATTTTTTCCAAAAATATTTTGAAATTGATTTTTTTGGATTCTTTTTCTAGAATTTGATAAAAAAAAAAAAAAAAAAAAGTAGTGAGGCTTCCAGGCACTTCGTGCCTTCTAGCCTTTGAAGTTGATGAGTATAAATGAAGTTCTTATATATACGGGTCTTCCAGGAGCTTTTCACAAATTATATATGTTTTCATGTTTTGTCATGATTTCATCGTAAATGTTTTGTCATGATTTCATCGTAAATGTTTTGTCAAGACTTCTTCGTAAATGTTTTGTCAAGACTTCTTCGTAAATGTTTTGTCAAGACTTCTTCGTAAATGTTTTGTCAAGACTTCTTCGTAAATGTTTTGTCAAACATGAACGTAAATGTTTTGTCAAGACTTCTTCGTAAATGTTTTGTCAAGACTTCTTCGTAAATGTTTTGTCAAGACTTCTTCGTAAATGTTTTGTCAAGACTTCTTCGTAAATGTTTTGTCAAACATGAACGTAAATGTTTTGTCAAGACTTCTTCGTAAATGTTTTGTCAAGACTTCTTCGTAAATGTTTTGTCAAGACTTCTTCGTAAATGTTTTGTCAAGACTTCTTCGTAAATGTTTTGTCAAGACTTCTTCGTAATGAGTGTAAATGACCAAAAATATAATTTAGGTGAAGAGGTGAGATCTCACCTGTTTTCTCACCTCTTTTCTCACCTCATGAATTTGTCAAGACTTCTTCGTAAATGTTTTGTCAAGACTTCTTCGTAAAATCAGACAAAAATAATGTTTAGGGTAGAAGGTTAGATCTAACCTCTTTTCTAACCTCTTTTCTACCCTCTTGAATTTTCAAGACTTCTTCGTAAATGTTTTGTCAAAACTTCTTCGTAAAATCAGACAAAAATAAAGTTTAGGTGAAGAGGTGAGATCTCACCTGTTTTCTCACCTCTTTTCTCACCTCTTGAATTTTCATGATTTCATCGTAAATGTTTTGTCAAGACTTCTTCGTAAAATGTTTTGTCAAGACTTCTTCGTAAATGTTTTGTCAAGACTTCTTCGTAAATGTTTTGTCAAGACTTCTTCATCGTAATGAGTGTAAAGGACCCAAAAATAAAGTTTAGGTGAAGAGGTGAGATCTCACCTGTTTTCTCACCTCTTGAATTTTCATGATTTCTTCGTCATAGGCATGGAGATAGGACGGTTATTTTACAAAACTGACAACACTTTGACCGAGTAGTTTTTTGTGCTGAACAAAAAGTGTCATATAAACATCTGTCAAAAACCGCTTTTTAACTTCACTTAAAATGCCACGTAAGCTACGTAAGAATATACGTAAGAGGAAGGGAGCATTGAAACATCCAATAGTAAAACTGACACCACAACAACAGTTGCAACAACAAATTATGAATGACCCCACTATGCTGCAACAAATGTCAAGCAACCCTATGCTTTTAAACCGAGTTATTGGTGCACAGAGTGGAGGTTTAAGAGCGGCACTTTTAGCGAAAATGACAGGCTATGGTGGAGCTGCAGACGGAACAGCCTATAACCCTCAAAGTCAAATGAATTTGAGTTCACTCAAAAATCAAATAGCAGATGTCAAAAAGTCAAACATAGACATACAGAAACAAATAAGTGAAAACGAAAAGAAACTAGAATATGACAGACACACAAAGAAACTCAATGAGTTAAACGTAGAGAAAAAGAAGAAAGAAGAACAACTGAAAGAACTAAGTACAGAGGAATATGCGAAAAAAGTGTCAGAAAAAGCAGCAGAAGTAGCAAAAATGGAACAAGATGTTATAAATTTGAAAAACCATACTACTCAATATAAAGTACTGAAAGATGAAGAAATAAAACAAAAAGCCCTGAAGACATATATGGATAGCGATGAGTATAAAAAAGAAGTTGAAGCAAATGTAAAGGCAGAAAAACTTTTACAGTTGCAAAACCAAACCGTACAGTATGAAAACTTAGCACAAGAAAGTAAAAATAACGACGCAGCCATGCAAAAGGCAATGAAAAGCGCAGAATATATAAAAGCTAATAATGACTGGTTAGATGCCCAAGCCAACGCTAAAGCAGCCCAACTTATAGGGTCAATAAGGACAAAAATACAAGCGGATGAAGACAGTTCAAATGAAGCTTTAATGAATGCTGACTTTAAGAACGCCTTCGAAGCTCTTCATAGTAAGGTGAAACTAGTGAACGACTTCTCATCTGGAAAGAAACTGAAGTCTGAAGGTTTCGACAAAGAGTTAAGAGAAGTAGCACAAAATATGACGAAAATAACAGATGCAGCAACGAGACAGGCAGTTCAAAGTGCCTATGACGCCGTTAGAGCAACTGTTGTGGAAAGTCAAGAAAAAGAGTTACAACAGACCAAAACAGACCTAGTAAATGCTTTCTTAAGAACGAAAAGTCAGGTAGGACATTATGCTGCAGATGGAACATATGTGCCAGCTGGTGGAACTTATATACTAGCTAGTGGAACTTATATACCACCAAACCCTCCAAGAGAAGCACCTGCACCAGGACTACCTAAAACATTTACATCGTCACATGGACACAGACACAGGCATGCACCAAAACCAACACAGCAACCAACAGTTCAAAATCCAGCACCACAACCAACAGTTCAAAACACTGCACCACAACCAACAGTTCAAAACACTGCACCACAAACCAACAGTTCAAAACACTGCACCACAACCAACAGTTCAAAACACTGCAGCACAACCAACAGTTCAAAACACTGCACCACAACAACCACAAACAGAGCAAGGACATAAAAGAAGTAGAGAACAAGGAAACCAAGAATTCTTAAAAATGCTTAAGGAAAATTATGGTTACCCAGATACTCTTGACTTTAGTGACAGATATAAAGAAGCTATTAGAAAGTTCAAGGAAGGAAATACTGACCCGAACCTATTTAGCTTTATGGTTCAGCACCAAATGGGATATAATTTCAAACCTGGAAAATACAAGCTCGCTAAGGGATATGATTTAATAGCATATCATCCAAATGACATGGATGAATTTACTCCGAGATATTTGGTGTCAGAGATAAATGATAATTCAACTATCTTCATGAAACGCGTAAAAAATAGAGACGGAACGAAAGAAGAAAGGGTTATGAATGCGGATGGCTTAAATAGGGAACTTGTTAAAACGGTCTCGGAATATATGAAATGCCAGCAGATGAGGTACAAGAAACTCCACAGGAAGAAGTTCAGATACAACCAGACATGGAAGAAATAGTTCAGCAACAACAGCTAGAAGAGCCTGAAGGAAACGAACAAGTCCCTCCTTTGGAAACTAACTTCACAGAACTAGATGAAGATTTGGAACAGCCGAAAAATCTTGACCCTCAACAAGAGTATGCGGAGAATATGGAATCTTTCCAAGAGTCTAAGAAAAATTCAGCTGACATAGTAGAAGAATATCGAAAAATGTTCGCCGACATACAAAAGACTCCAACATCAGATGAAAATATCCAGCATAGAATGGAAGTACTGAAAGATAATGTACACAAATACAACAATCCCTTTTACTTACGAGCATATAACGTTCAATCTTTGGATGAACTCGGTGAAAATAAAAGGTTAAATTTCAACAAAACATATAGAAATGAAACATTGTTTAAAGTTCATTCAGAACCTAGCCAATATGGAAACAAACCTACTTTGTTTCTGCAGACTATGGAACTACAATGAGATGGGGTCATAAAGCTAATCCGGATAGGTGGTTCATAAACTTACAACCACAATTCAAGAAGTTGTAGACGCAATGGAAGTGAATGGTGAACCAGATGTAGCTGGTATTTCAGCGCGGCTTTAATGCCATTGAAAGATATGAAAGATCAGATATTTTGAACCAGTATGAAATGAACATGGCTGATGGAAATATAACACCTGACGTTCTAGAACATTTATCTCAAAGAACTACACAGAACCATAGAGATGGTATATTTGGTGAAGAGTTTAGAAAGAAAGTTAGGGAGATAGAAGGAAGAGAACCTATTGTACATGACCTTGCAAACGAAAGTTTACAAAATGTCATAAAAACTTACTTTGCAGACAATGAACTGAGAAGGGATGAATATTTAAGAAAACTCAAATGGACAGTACCAAATGAAATGTTAGTATTGAAAAACATGTTCCTTGACAAAATAAAACCAACTACAGAAATAAATGACGCAAGACTGAAACATTGGGTAAAAGCTTTCCCATTCACAAAAGATATTATTGGTAACATGGAAAGAAAACCAGAATGGCTACAAAAACATATATTTGGAAACGAGCTTATTCCATATGGACAAGCTCTGTTTGAAGAGCTTGAACCGGAAACTCAGGAAAGAGTCATGCAAACAATACGCGAAGACTCAAATACAAACTATGACAAAATCTTTCTAGGATATAGGTTACCTGAGATGGGCGACCAGAGCCCAAAGGCAAAAAGGACATGGGAAATTTACAACATACTAGGTGAACATGAGGCAAAGATGCAACAACTTGAAGCAGAGGGCAAGTTACCAAAAGCGACACCAAAGAAGAAGAGTAGAACAAAGTGAAAGTAGTGAAGAAGTAACTTCATCTAGTGAAAGTAGTGGCAATGAAGGAAAAAGAAGAGTTAAAAACTCAGTCAGGAAGAAAGTAAAGCTTGGTCCGAGTGGGTTCTATTATGACACATAAATCCAACTATTCTATATTTTTACCCATATGAAATGTACGCCGCTCAGAATATAACGCCAACAGTTTTGGATGCCATGAACGGAAATGTTTCCGAATGGTATAACGAATGCGACAATGCCATTAGAAGGTCAGAAATAGTTCCTGGAACTTACGAATATACAACTGCTGTTTCTTATGGAAACGTAGGTGAGTTTGGAGAAGGTTCTTCAACAACAGTAGATATTGCTTGCGACAGGTTTCATATTATTTCTATTGACAACTCATTCTTATACGTGGAACAAGACATTGAAATAAAACTTCTGCCAAGTTGTCTGACAAGAAAGGTTGCAATGGAATTTTCTATGTCGGATACCAATATGCTCCAGAAGTTTTCATGGGATATAAGATATATTCTAACTCTGACTTAGTTCAAACAGTAACATGGGCAAACTATGAATGGTTCGCTTGAGAAACTCAGTACAACCACAAGCTAGAGAACAAACAGACCAGTATGCAAATATTGAAAAATAAGAAGACTTGACCCTAACGTTCCAGGAGTTTATGTTAACCTTTCTGGTTCAGATGGAAACTGCTGCCACTAAAGTAAAACTGAAACTTAGAGTTCCTTTGTCATCTTTCCTCATCTTCAGGTTTTTAAGATACTTGCCAAACTGGGCAGGAAAAATTTCTATCGAACTTACTCCAAGCAAAAATAACTTAGTCATTGCACCAACACAAGACCCATTCAGCATTACTGTAGCTGGAACTGGTGGAGCCAAGTTCTGTGACTTTTGCAAAGACAAAGTTGACTTAGACTTTGGTTTCTCAAACTTCAACAATGAAGTAAACTATTATTTCAATGCTGCTGGAACTGCTTGGGACCCAGTTAAGTTTACATGCGAAAAGTTTGAATGCAAGAGAATAGAAAGCAGACTTGCAGTCTATATGTTGGACCCAGATATTTCAAATGCTTTAGCTGCCAAATATATTGCAGTTCCACTTATGTTCCCTATACACCAAATATCTGTCAAAGACTTTGCAGGTGAAGTTGGAAACCAAAGTGCTGACCCAGGTGCAAGAACAGATATTGCTTTAACAACTGCAATGAAACATGCAGATACTATGTTTGTACTGTTCAGACGAACTATAAATGACTATTCTTGTTTCTACAACCCCGGTATTAAATATCATATAAACATAGATGGCAAATATTATCCAAGAGAAGAATATTCTACAGTTGAGGATATGAGGTCATACAACTTGACATTAGATGCTATGAACTTTAACAACAACTTCACAACAACCATTAACCCTGAAATGCAAAGTTCTATTATGCCATATGTGAAAGTATGGACTCATACAGGAGGTCAAAAAACTCAATATACAAATGGAGACCGTTCAAACTTTTGGCTTGGCATTCCATTTGCTGACTCAGAAGACTTTATGGGTGGTATTTCAACTGTTGGTACTGTACAAATACAATATACTGGTGACAGAGACGGTCCAGATGAACTGAGAGCAAAGAAGTTTACAAAACCAATAGCACTTTTCACGGAAGATGCTCTTTTGAAGATTCGTTCGATGAAACCTGCTGGGGCTCCTCAGATTGGCATAACGACAGCTTCCATCGAGCAGATTTTGGCAGCAGGTCAGTAAGTTGTTCTTGAACTGACTTCTCTCCGTCAAATATTGACAGTACGCCAGTTTTGACATAATATTGTAAGATAAACTTACCTTTAGAAATATCTGTAAGTTTTGTTGTTATATTTTTGTCTGCGTCAAGAACTTTCACCATTTCAGTTATACCAACTTTCTTTGCTTTATGAAAATATTTTGGTTCAGCAAATATGCTATTCTATAACATTTACCATTGTTTGTGTAAAGAACTATTCTGTCAATGTATTTGTATTGTTTGTGTGTGTAAACTTTGTTCTGCTTCAATTCGAAAGAGATACTCGAATACGTCCATCTTTTTATTCTAAGTAAAATGTCATTTCCGAAAAATAGAAGCGTGAAGTGTTTCAAAAGGTTTAATGGCGGTGGCAGATGTGAAGTTAAATTCACCAACTCAAACAAACAGTCAAAGTGTTGTTGTCAATGTCAAAGACAGAGATGTTGAAGTGGGGAAACCATACGAAGACGAAGATGGTATAACAATTGTTCCTGTAAAAGAACCAACATATCCTGAAGTTAGCAGAGACTTAAGTTCTGTTGCAGATATTCGAAACGACTACCAACAACTGAAAGACAAACTTCAAACTCAGGAGAAGATTTGTCAAGCTTTAAGTATAATGTTAAACTTGGTCGAACACAACCCTGTAAAAGTGAACTCATATGTCATTGCAACCTCATGAAGTTTTGAAAGAACTATTGAAACTTTTGACAGAGGCAGACGATATAAACATCAAAGAAATAGAACCCGACATTAGTTGCTGTGGTGTTTCATATAAATGTCATTGACAAGATATACGTTATGAAAGGAGGTGAAACGTTGAACTTAAAGTATAGTTTCCCAGACGTCATAAAAATATTTGACGACCACAACATTTCATTAAAATTTATTTGCTAAGTAAAAATGTCAAAACTTCTTGAAAGATGTTTGAAGAAAAATAATATAGACTTTATTTCATGTAAAGGACTTTACACACTTTTGAACGATATGAAAAGACCCTGTTTTGTTTGTTCGTGTAGACAAAGGAAAGTTCTATGTCTTTACAAAATATTTGAACTTCTTAGACAGAGAACTTCAAGAAACGCCATGTGAAAGTTTAGATGAAGTTCTTCTCCACTTTCAGAAAAACTTTTAAATATATATAAATGGCAGAAGACATAATGGTTTATACTATTACGACTAAAAACCCTGAGTCATATAATTCTATAACAACAAACTTACAAAGTCCTCAAGGACGATATTGTAAACTAACCTTAAACACAATGACGACTAAAGCCTGTTTTGCTCTTTTGACACCAGAAGACTTTATTGTTGTGAATGGTAAAAAATACTCCTTTGAAGATACTTACTCAGATATACCACCAACAGGTTTTGTTGACTTATTTAATACTTTAAGGACGGGTGTAACATGTGCTGCAACTAGAGCAGGTTTCATTATGTTTGGATGTCCGACTGAGTTTACTATAAACAATATGAGCTATAATACAAAACTTATTTCTGGTTTTTACTACCAACAGTTTCCTATAACAGGAAAAGGTGTCATACAAGGAATGTCTATTCCATTGACATTAAGCACACCAATCTTATATATTGTTTCAAACTTAGGTTCAAAGTGTTATTCGAATGTCGACAGAAACTATTATGACCAAAAGATACTTATGCGTATAAACAATACTTTCTCTGCTGGTTTGCCTATTGTTCATTCGAATGCAGAATTTTCAACCTTAGTGAACTCAAACACTTTGGCAAGTATAACGTTGACATTAGTTGACGCAAACTTTGTTCCTGTAAAACTTTTATGTCCTATGTATTTGTCAATGACGGCAGAAAGTTTCGAATTGGAAGATGCAACTGGTGAAAGTATTGTATTACAAGAACAACTTCAACAACAAATAGCTCAAGAACAACAAATGCAACAAATGCAACAACAAAGTCAAGAATAAAAAAATTTTTTTTTATTTTTATAAAAATGTACAGAATAGATGTTTCAGATTTTTATGACTTCCAAGCATTCAGAAATATGTGTCCATTTAGAGACTATAACAAAGCAGTCGAGAATTTGAAACGTTTAGTCATTTATGTTGACTCTGCCCCAGAATGTTATGTTGAAAGAATGGGATGTTGTCTTTAACAAACCAAGAGCAACAATAGTTTCAGAACAAGAATGTAGACAGAAACTTAAGAAAATAAAAGTCGTACAAGTTGGATGAAGATGTTAGATGCTTGGGATATCTTATTGTCAAAGTTAGAAGATTTTTCAGTTCGAGGTATAAAGTTCTATACACCTTCTCCAAACTTCTATTCTATCTTCACTGGATATAAATACGAACAAGTAGAATGGAAAGAAAATATTATAGAAGCTTGGTTAGACCATGTCAAAGAAATTATATGCAATGGAAACGAAAGAGTCTATGAGTATATCTTATGTTGGTTTGCAAACATCTTACAACATCCAAGTGCTAAAAATGAAACTGCTCTCATTATAATTGGAAAACAAGGAACAGGTAAGAACACATTCTTTACAGATATTTTGTGCAAACTGTTAGAGGGCTATTCGAACCCTAATATGACAAACTTAGAAAACATCTGTGGCAAGTTTAACTCTTCTATTGAGAATATGAAACTTATAGTTTGCAATGAACTTCAAAGTATAGATACAACAAAAGTTTTAAACTCAGATGCTTTGAAGAGTCTTATAACAGACAAAGTTGGAGTTGTTGAAAGAAAGTATAAAGACCAAAGAGTTTGTGAAAATGTTGCAAACTTCATTATGGTTTCAAACAATGTTGTTCCGATGAAGTTAGAAAGTTCTGACAGAAGATATGTAGTTGTCAGAACGTCAGATTCTCATATGCAAGATACAGAATATTTTGACGACTTAGCAGAAACTTTGACATCTGACTTTTACAACCACTTGTTCTCATATTTTATGACATTAGATATTTCAAAGTTCAATCCAAGACAAATTCCACATACCGAAGAGAGACAAACATTGTTAGAAGCAAACAAGAGTGTATATGAACTGTTCATAGATGAAACTGACTTTGAGTGTTTAGATGAAAGGTCATTGTACGATTCGTATAAACAATATTGTCAAGAATATGGTTATATGGCAGCTTCTAAACGTACATTCTTGGCAAATGTCAAAAGTCTTTTAGACGTACAGAATGGTGTATATACAAAGAAAAATTTTTATGAGTAAATTTTAAAAAAATATTTTTTTATCCGATAGAAAAGATGGCAAAATTCATCTCAGTAAATAAGTACATGTCAGGACTTAAAGAAGAACTAGACCCATTCACATATTTGAATGTTTACTTCTACCATTTTGAAAAGTCTTCATTCAGCAAAGTTTGGAACATCGAACCAGTTAAGTTTGCTATTGTGACTAAAAAACGGTGCGAAATTTGAAGACTTAGACATAGAAGGTTTGTTAGCAGTCAAAGAAAATTTTGACAGAAGGTTCTCAAACCTTAAAGAAGGCAAAGCATACAAACTTGTTATACCTTATGAACCAAAGAAAGCAGACGACTATGAATATTATGAGTCTAAGATAGTTGAAGTTCAAGGTAAATTGGGTAAAAAGATTTTAGAGTCTAAGCCAGTGTTTACTCCTAAAGAGGAAGAGAACATTGACATTGACCCAGAAATGTTCTAAAAATAAAATTTTTTTTTACATGTCAAATTTCTTTTTCTCTGGAACTGGTTCAGGTTCTTTCTTCTCTCTTCTACTTTCTTTTCTTTCTTTTCTCTCTTCTTCTTTTCTGGTGGAGTTATGTCAAATTTGGCGCAACCATATTTATGTAAAAGTTCTTTGTCCTTTAATAGCTCATCTATTCTGTTTTCTATTTCATCTTCAAGAACAGCGCATGTGTCTTCTTTGCATTCTAAGAAGTTTTGTTGGACTTCATCTCTCCAAGAGGCGTCATCTCTGTCAACAAGTCTGTCATTGACAAATTTTAAGACTGCTCTGCTTAATGTTTTATGGTTCTTGTCATATTCCCAGAAACAGAACTTTAGAACAAATTCACCTTTCTTGTTTACACTATGTAAGATTTTATGGTCGACAGATGTTTTGCTGTCGAAAAGCTTGTCTCGAATATAGATAGCGAAATCGCTAGACATTTTCTAAAAGATAAAAATTTTAATTTTTCTAAAAATATGTTAGAAAAAAAGTTTGCTGACATTGACAAGAAATTTGAGAATGTTTTAAACAAGAACAAGAGGAAGTTAGAAAATGCTCAGATAAAGCCTATACATGACAAGTTCTTATTTGCTCAGAATGGTATAACAGGTCTAATTGCACCACCTGGGTCGGGTAAGACTTTCACTTATCTTAAAATGGCTGCACAACAACAAGAACTAGATGAGAAGAACCCATTCTATGAGTTAGTTGTCATTTGTAGTACTTCTGGTCAATTTGACCAAACCGTCAATTCGTTCAAAGATATTATAAAGAAGTCTAAGTTAGTATGTATAAAGGATACTGAGTTGTTAGATTGGATAAAGAAGTACCAAAGAAGAGTTTTGAAGTATAATGCTATAAATGAGTATATAAATTCTAAGTTCAAAGACCCAAATGAGGAAATGCAGAGAATATTAGAGAAGAAACACTTCAGAAACAAACAGAAAGAGATAGAATACATTTCGAAGAAATTGCAATCTTACGATTGGAAGACTTACCCTCATAGATGTCTTCTTATCTTAGATGACTTTGCTTCTCATCCTTTGTTAAAGAATAGAGAACAAGACATGTGTCGAATTCTTAAGAAGCTCAGACACTTTAACATCTCAGTTGTCATTTGTGTACAGACAGCAAAGAGTTTAAGTAAGGATGTTAAAAGAATACTTACTGACATTATACTTTTCCCGGATTGTCCGAAGACGATTTCATGGAACTTATGAAAGAGTCCATGGCAGGTAAGTTTGACAGACATGAACTATGGGAGAAGTACAAAGTCATACAAGACCCTCATACTTCTTTCAGAATTCATATCTACGCGAACAAAGTTCAAATTGTAAAAAGTCAAGCTTGAAAAATGTAAGTGTTTAGTCTTAGTAAGTAAGTCTGTTGTGGTGCTGGGGCTGTCGGTTCTTCTGGCTTTGGAAGGCATTCAGGAAGAGGAACGTCAGTCATCCGTTTGTGTCCTGTCGGATGGAAGAGTTCTTCCTGTCGGAAGGAAAATTTTTTCCTGTCGGATGGAAAAATTTTTCCTGTCGGATGGAAAATTTTTTTCTGTCGGATGGAAAATTTTTTTCTGAAGTTCGACCAAAAAGTTCTCAATTTTCGAAAATTTGAATGGTTTACGGACGGACAACTGGAAAATTTTTTCTTGTCGGATGGAAAATTTTTTCTTGTCGTCGGGAAAATTTTTTCTGTCGGAAGGAAATTTTTTTCCAGTTGTCGGGAAAATATTTTTCCAGTTGTCGGGAAAATATTTTTCTGTCGGATGGAAGGACTTGGAATGCAAGAAGGATTTGACGAGACAATTTACCTTATAGAGCTACCTGAGCCATCTGAAGTCAAGCGTAAAAATAAATGGTTCATCTACCCTACTTGTTTGAAGTTGTCAAAATACTCTGTTATTTTTTCCTTTAACAATGGCAAATCTTCTTTGAAGGTAAGAATTGTACAACCTTTCATATCATA